AATTTTTGGTTCCTTTTCGATTATTATCGGGTCGTTTACGCATTCTTCAAAATTTTTATATATTTTTGTGGTCAACTTATCAATTAGTGCTAAACGTTTCTTTTTTGCAAGTCGAGGGATATCCGGGGAGTTACAAATAATTTCATTCACGGTCTTAGATATTTTATTCATAAATTGTTGCGACTGGAAAGAATTCAATTTTGTACGATCGGATAGTTCCATAGTTTGTGAGGCCTGAGACTCGCAGGACAATCTCGCGTGAGATGATTGTGGGGTTCTCTGACAGTCTAGCATATTTGACGAATTAAAATGTTATTTGAGAAAGTAATTTTGTAACTATGGAAGAAAGTGTAATAAAAAGAATAATCACGGATAAAGTACAATAAAAAAAAAATAACCACGGAAGAAACTACAATGACAAAAAAACAAAAGAATAACCACGCTCTGCTACCAATATTTTGTGATATAGCGTGTGTCTTCTTCTTTTTTTGTTGGGCCCAACCCTGATTTCGGAAAACCGAAATCAAGGTCCCAGAGGTTTTTACGATCGGACCTGAATACGATAATTTAATTTATCGATCAGGCACCTTTTATATTTCATTTAAACCAAAGTAAATACGACACCAAATGTTTTTTAAATTTGAATCTTTAATTACAATTTAATATTTTCACATAAAATGACAATATATTTAATTAATTATTATTTTTAATTTAAAGAATCCTTTTATACAATAACAAACCTATCTTAAATCTACAAACCTTAATTTTAAAATGTTATTTGATTCTCGGTTGAAAGATTATTATTATTATTATTATTAAAATTTTGACCTTCAAATTAGTAAATACAATTAAAATATTAACAACTTTTAAAATGAAATATTATTTCTTTTACTCTTCTTTATAAAAATATTTATCCTTTCAAAATTAAATTACAATTATTATTTTTTATTTTGACGTCAAAGTAATAAAATTAACTTACTTGAATAGTGTGCACACCAAAATTTTATTTTTTACCAAAAATATCTGTTAACCCACACAAGCCAGAAATGGATCTGTTCTAGGACTTGAAGAAAATAGCCCTTTCTTGGCCCCTACTCCTATCACTGTTTGAGTGTGTGGAGGGGCAATGGCGGTTCATTTAAATCTGAATGTGACATATATATCATTTTTCTTCAGTGATTGGTCTTGTCGATGTTTTGCCTTAAAATTATACAATTAATTACTTCAGTACGGTTTTCATGCATAATTTATTGACTAGATGAAATATTTTTTACGTTCCTCTCACTTTGTCCGCTAATGTTCTCCATTAATCATGTACTTTTGTCGTGTCAATTTTGTAAAATAATACATTACTGGATTTTGACAACCGTACCTGAACGAGTGAAAAAAAGTGAAATTATTTTCCTGGCCATTATGAATTATTGATGGTAACACTGAATAATGATAGCTCCGGTGTGAATATTGCCGTTTAGGGAATGATTAATAAAATCTTTGCACAATTACATTTTTATAGTTTATTTTAATTATAATATGGCTCCTTCTTGTAATATTATTCGGCTAATGTCTGAAGCTTTTGCCTGGTTGGTAATCAGTCTAATTATGTCGAGTCCCATTTTTTAAATGGTATTACCGTGAGTCTTATTTTTTGGTTGCTTTTTAAGTCCCTTATTTCTAAAAACTACCAGATCCGGGCGACTTGTGCGATTTCTACAATTTATATATAACATCATTGGCATAATAAAAGTCCTCCGCTTGGTATGCGTTCATTTCTTTAGTGAAACACGCTATTAGCACAACAAACAGAACCGATGTTAACAGCGGTAACATGCATCATTACATAAAAAGGCCAAAACAAAAATAATTGACTATCGATATTTTATGCACGTCAAAACCACATGCCTGATTATCGATTTCAAATTAATTATAAACGCCAATATGATTTTACATTTATTTAAATAAAAAGCGGCCTTGAAATGTTTAAAATTTAGTGTAAATAATTTTCGGTTTGATATTACCAAATCTATAAACGTTTTCATTATTAATAAAAAGACAAACTATCGCCTTGCAGATCCTATAATATAGCAAAGCATTATGTTAAAAATGGCCTATTTTAATTAGGCTTGTACTTACACTGTATAAAGTCTTATTTTTGAAAATACATAGCGCATTCAAAAGTATTGTATACAATTGATCATTGGTCAAAGTCCTACTCTCAGATGAGAGTAAATTTAATATTTTTGGCTCACATAGAATAACTGGTGTCCAAATGCTGTTACCAATTTGAAATTGACAATTTAAGAAGACATTTGTGCTGCCAATTTTTATTGTATTTCAGAACTTATATGAAAGTAATGTTTTCATTTTTTTCTAGGATATAGTTCTGAGTAACTATCCTAAAATATTTAGACAATGTAGTTAAGTTAATACGAAACGAGAGAATATAATAAAACAGAATTTACAGTTACTTTTGGAAGACATTGTATGCGAAAAGTCATTTCATTTGTTGATGATGAAAAATGTAAATAAAACAAAATTATTACACAAGTGATGACTATTTACAAGTTTTCATTGCTAGAATCGAATATTCAAGTATCGACCACTCTGGAACAAGATATGGTTTTGAATTTGCCTTTTTCATCAAGACAATTTGCAAGCTCCTTTATTTGTTGTTTTTTTTTAATGAGGGTTCGCAACATGAGGTTCCCGAGTACTCGTCGTCACAAGACTAGAGGATCTTTAGCGTCCGCACCTGGCCTATTCGGCCTTACCGGACGTTATGATTCTCAAGATGAGAGCTGTCGCAACTCCGCATACAACGTAAGAGTGATACCGCCGCATCATTGGTGTAGAGGCGTTCCAGCCCCTAAGAACAAAGAACAACCTCGCTCTCCGCTTGTCCACTCCGTATGGTCGGGCCCGCATAGTGCATCGGGTCGTATGCCGCGCTCAAAGGGCTAACAAGCCGAAATACATCAGCCTGTTCTCCCGCGCACTCCCTAGACAGAGAAGATGACTCTATCTCCCAGAGTATTGGGGCTTCTCATAGCTTAGAAACTACCGGATCCGCCCCGGCCGCGGTATTGTTTTAAGTGGAATGGCTACCACCCCCTAGATGAGCACTGCCTACGGTAAAACCTCCTGTCGAGCTCAGCCTACACCTGCCATGCCCATTCGAGGGAGCCATAGGCTCAGCCTAGGTGGTCCGATCCTTCGCATCCCCAAGGGTACCACGCCGGTCATACTCACAACAATGCAAAGTATACTCGAGTCAGAGAAACCGATTCACTACCCGTTTCCATCAGCTTACTCACGCATTCGAATCATCGCGTCCTCAACCTGCTGTCGTCCGGTCCACCGTATCCCGTGAGGCCGGGTGTAATAACGCTGGCCATACGCAAGCTTCACGAAGGTCACAAATAGAAGACAGCCCCTGTCTAAGTTCCCTCCAGGGGCGTCACCACGTACCACCACGAAACCATTTCCAGTGTAACTAGGGCTGATTTTGGAACTTTTCAGTTACCCCGTGATACAGATGACCACACACCCTCCCCCGTCTATGCAGACAGGGCCCTCGTGTGACTCTGCTGGCCCATGCCGACCCTAGGCCGACACGAGTACAACTTGTGCTTTAGAGAGGTTGTCACGACCTCTCGGCAACACCTTTTATTTTGTACCGGGATACCCCCCTCGCAACCAAGGGTTGGAGGGGTCACAGGATAGAATGAAGAAACCCGGATTGGGAAAAGGGCTGTGGATAGAACTCAAGGTGCGCCGTTTCGGGGTCTCGAGCCTCAAACCACACTATACCACCCGTCGTCGCCGAAGTTTCACACATAGTGGGAGGGTTCGCAACAGCAAAGGTCATATAAACCCTCAGGGTGCTGGTGTTTCTGAAAAAAAAGCCCATTTGTACGTATGTCGGGTTCAAATGCAGAGCCGCTGGATTCGAACCCGGGACCTTCACCTTACAGTGATGAGCACCGTGTCAACTCCCAAACCGTAGCGAACACCGACGCCCCTAAGCACCTATATTAATTGAAATACTAATACTTTGAAGTCCAGTATGATCAACCATCGCCTCAAAAGACACATTACATATTTCACATCAACACAAATTGTTTAGAATTAAAGTTTTTTTTTAATATTAAAAATAATGTGTGTAAATATAATGCATGTAAACATATCATTTCCTTTTTCAAAAAATTGTTTTTTTCCCTTTATGAAAAGAAGTACCTATTAAAAAAATATACCTATTCAAGTTTCAATCTGACCTCCCAAACTTTATCGTGTTTACGATATGGCGGTCTTCTAAAAAGTTTGCCGAACCCTAGTTTGGTTGTTCAAAACAAATCATGTGAAAGTGATAGAAGTTCTTTTATATAGCACATTATTTCCCAAAATATATTAATTAAAAAATATAAAAACAGATTTTCCCAAGCAATAGACCAGGAACAGTGGTTGCCAAGTGGGTTAGATGTCATTCTGTCGGTATAGCATAGGCCATGAGGTCGTGTGTTCGATTCTCCGTAGCCCCTGGATTTTTCTTACTGCATGCACATCTGTTCTGCAACACCTTCACCTCTAGTAGTTGGATGTACAGTCTATCTTGTATGAGTGTTATAATAAGTGTTATATGTTATATAATAAAAATTATCAAACTCATAATAAAAGGAACAAGATAAAAATCTAAAATGCAAACAGGAAGATTAAGATTAAAAGAAATTTCAAAATGATTAGTTTGATACAGATTAAAAAATAATAATAAAAAGCATTCGTATTTCATTATTGCATTTAATTTGTGACCCTGTCCTTCATACAAATTGGCCATATTGTATTAATAGGCATAAATAGTTCAATAATTAATACCGCCAAACAAAATGTTACAAGGGATTAAACATCTTCCTGTCCGTTCGTTCTTGCGTAACAGGAAAGCAAAATGAGTGGTATTATCAATGAAAAAACATGTATTTATAACATCGTTTCCGTGACATGCGATCACATTGTTGATTTATAAAACAACTGAGCTTTTCAGTGTTTGTTTCTATTCGCGCCATGATCATTGTTTTGTTGACCTGTTTGCTCTGTGGTGTATCTGCCCAGGTCGTTGAAACCCGATTGGGTAAGATTCAAGGGACTTCATTGATTTCGAGATCTGGAAAGGAGTATTTGGCGTTTTTTTCGATTCCTTACGCAAAACCTCCTATCGGAGATTTAAGATTAAAGGTATAAATAATCTATCAACAAAAATTAATATCACATTACAAAATATTTTTTCTAATTAGCATAACCACATGAACAGTTTCAAAAATTAGTTAAAAGCAAGGTTTGATTAATACGTGTAAACTTTAATCTTAGAATTGTTTTTTATGTTGAGAGCATCTTTATATCAGTGCATTGCATCTTTTCGAGAAATTCGAATCATGGAAAGGATGTATTTTTGGCACAATTATTGTATTGCATGAAGTTGCAAGTTTTGCGTTATTGTACGAAATTTTCCCTATTTTTGATGGAGATAATGCTTTTATGGATAAAAACAACGTGAAAATATATCATTTTTATGGGTTTACAATATTTAGTAAACGAATTGAGGGTAAATCTGTTTTATATTGCGCTTCGTCCAAGATTTCAACTTCCAATTCCTAAAATCTTCCAAGAAATATTTTATTTTCAACATCCGACGATCCGCACTTTTCCATCACTTGGGTATTTCCCACATTTCAATCTCAATCTTACTTAGGCTTGGGAGCAAAGCGTAACAACTTAAAAGAATAAAGCCCGTTAAGTTCTTACTATCGAATGTTCAAGTGGTGGCTACAGGGCAACCGAAGACTTGCCATGGCCAAATTTTTTGAACCCTCCTCAGACAAGGGTCTAAACTGTAATTGCGCGTGTAAAGCGGGTCGTCGATGACCGAATCATTGTCCTCAGTTTTATTTCATACTACAAAACGTTTTAAAAATAAATAAAAATTAATCGTAGTAAGAAAAATGAGAACAAAAATATTTTAAATTTATGTGTAGTGATTAGTGACCGTTAGTCGATGATTATTCGGAAATCGTGAGATGCGGTCTGGCGTGACGTTTCAGAAAAACATTCTCTTTATCGTGGCAACGTTTCGATCTTTATTGAGATCATCTTCAGGGCTTAAAGTGTTTGTTTTCTGCGTAAGTGAGTGCACTCTCAACACAACACGCAAGAATGGCACACTTACGCAGAAAACAAACACTTTAAGCCCTGAAGATGATCTCAATAAAGATTGAAACGTTGGCACGATAAAGAAAATGTTTTTCTGAAACCTACATCAGTACCGCAGCACCTACCAGACCGCATCTCACGATTTCCGAATAATCATTTTAAATTTATATTAAATTTCATGCTTTTTTCAGTTAATTGTATACTTGCACATGTTGGGTTTTAAAATGGACATAATCGATTGGGTATAAAATAAAAAATCAATCATAAACAATGTTTATGTCAGTTATTAATTTTATTAGGTAAATAAAAATTTTATTGTGTAAAATGGGAGTTTTTATCTGTATTACATTTTTTTGCAAGTTTTGAAAGTTTTCATTACACAAAAGACCGATCTTTAGTAATTGCAATACCAAAATTTATTTAAAAACATAATAAATGTCGTCAATTAACAAAAGTATTTGTAGAAAAGAGTCCATAATACTGTATATTTGACAACGGCCAAACAAAATATTTAGTACAAACGTACATATAATGCAGATTTTCATGTTTTCTTTCAATTATCCCTCTTTTCAATAAACTGTTCACGTTTGATGGATTATTTTTTTTGACGAATGTCAACACGTTTTAATCAATACTTTTCCAAACAAAAATGTTTGTTTACCTCAGTAACATTTTGTTATTTGAATAATTCAGTCTTTACTAAGATGTCAACGTATGATTTTCGAAAAAAAATTCGAGAGGGAGACAAGACAGAAAGAAGGTCATGGAAGGATTTCTTCCCTAAATGATGATGTTCTGCGAGCTTTGTTCGAAGAAAATGTCAGAACAACTGTTCGAGAACATGGAAAGAATCTTTCACTTTGAAAATCAACCATTGTTGATCACCTTGAAAGAGGTGCAATTGGAAAGGTGAAAAAGTGAAAAAGTCGAAAGTTGAGTTTCTCATGCATTAAACAACCATCAAAAAAATCACCGTTATGAAGTTTGCTCAAACTCTTCTTTGTCAAAACAAAACCCATCTTTTCTGGATAGAATTGTTACTTGTGATGAAAAGTGGATTCTCCACAATATCAGCAGACATTCTAGACAGTGTTTTGACAGAGGAGAAGGAGCACCAAATTTTCCAAAGCCTCAAACACATTAAAAAAAGGTGATGATGACTCATTGGAGGGCTTCATTTGGACTGATTTACTACAGCTTCTGGCGAAACAATCAATGCCGAAATATATTGCTCTTAATTGAAACAATAGACCAGAAATTGAATAGACTATTATTGAAGCCATCTTTAGTCATTCGGAAAAGACGTTCACGACAACGCATGGCCCCCATGTCTTATATGTTACAACAAGAAAACTGTTAGATCTTGGTTACAAGGTTCTACAAACCTATTCTCCAGACCTCTCGCCTACCGACTACCATTTGTCAGACACCTGGACAACATAAAAAATTTATTGATCAAAAGTCGTTAGAAATTTACAGAAGTTGTTTATATTGCTGCTTCTTCTAGTTATATTCCCTTCCTTCATTCCAATACTGAGTCCTATGACTACGAGCCTTTTTCCTTAAAACCTTTCTCTAACAGAATTAGAACCACTTTTCAATAACCTAAAAAATAGCAATTCCTTTTTTAATAATTTTGTGTTTAAAAAAATTCTAAATTTATCATCTCTCCCCTAGTACATATTTTCAACCTAGCCTTTTCGCTAGGTCAATTCCCCCCCATTTTTAAAAAATCATTAATTATCCCTTTATTTAAATCAGGTTCAAAATCTGATGTTAATAATTACAGACCCAGTTCTTTGACTTTAACTTTGGCTAAAAACTTTGGAAAATTGATTTAAAAAAATAGATTATTTGATTGTCTTAATATTCATAATATAATTGCTCCTAACCAATATGGTTTCAAGCCTGGTAAGTACCGAACAGGTACTTTTTGATGTTGTTAACAATATTTCAAAAGAATTGGATGGAGGTTATCATGTTTTTGGGATCTAAAAAAGGTTTTTGACTCCATCGACCATCGATTGTTATTAAAAAAATTAAAATTAATAGGAATAGTTGAGGTTCCTCTTAAACTTATTGAGTCTTATTTAGTGGGTAGAACTCAGATAACAAAAGTTGGAACAGTCTATAGCAATCCATTGCCTATCATCTCTGGCGTCCCTCAAGGTACGGTTTTAGGTCTCCTATTTTTTCTTTTATATATTAATGATCTTTTAAAATTGAAAATATCTTGTAAAGTTAAGAGTTATGCTGATGATAACTGCTTGATTTTTTCTGGAAGGATAATTGATAATTGGATTATGTCTATAAACAATGATCTTAGACTTGTTAAAGCTTGGCTATCTTTTTACTGTTTACTTTTAAATAACAATAAATCCAATGTCTTACATTTTGCATTAAGTAAAAGATTAGTTTTAAAGAACTTTAACTTTTGTTTCCATACATGTATTAATTCATTTAACTGTAACTGTTCCCCAACACCAATTACAAATAATACTCAATATTTAAGAGTTATATTAGACTCTAGTTTAAATTTTAAGTTACACATTGATTCTTTGGTTATGCGATTGAGAAAACTCCTTTACAAATTCACTGTATTAAGAAAGATCCTAAATTTAAAATTATTAAAATCAGTTTATTATGCTTTGGTTCAGTCTATAATTGCTATGGTATTGTTACATGGGGTGGAACTAGTAATTGTTATTTAAATCCATTAATCATAACTCAAAATTCTCTTTTGAGAACTATTCTTTTTAATCCTTTTAGATTTAATACCAATCAACTATGACATTTTTCAGGTTCTAAAATTTAAACAATTATTTTTAAAATGTTCTTGTATGTATGTCTTTAAAAATAACCTTTTTGCTGAATCAAACAATGAGTATCAAACAAGACAAATAATAGCGACTAATATTTTTATATCCAAAGTAAACACTAATTTTTACTCTCTAAATTCACTAATTTCGTGGTCTGCTTGACCAACTAATACATGACAATTAATTAAGGTTTTTAGTTGAGATGAAAAAAAGCTAATGGCACGAGAGGGATTCGAACCCACAACCTTCGGCTAAATACGCCGCTGCTCTACCACCTGAGCTATCGTGACCTCGATCCACTCGGACATCAACTCCCCATCTCAACCCCACCCTATGAGTTTTCCCTCCTTTTGCCATTTTCGAATCCCTCTCGTGCCATTAGCTTTTTTTCATCTCAACTAAAAACCTTAATTAATTGTAAACTAATTTTTACTTCAATTTTTTAATAAATGCTGTTTATAGGTTTCTATATAATCATAAAATTAATTTTAACAAATTTCATTCGTATTATGATTTCAAAAAATTTAGTGCTGTAAAAATTTTAAATTTATAATTTGAACTTTCTTTGTGGTATATTTGGCATCTATTATGGCAATTACGGTATTCTTTAATTTCTATTTTATCTTTATTTGAATTTATTGCATTTTATTTTTGTTTTCCCACTTCATTATTTTGTTTTTTTCTTTCATTTACTTGGTCATATACACCTTCTCAGTCCTTTTGATTTAATTTTTGGCAATTTTGTTCATTGACATAACTCCTCCCACCTGTTACAAGCACTGTTTTTAGGTAACAGGAGAAAAAGTGCAGATTGGTTAAACGACTTACTTTTACTAATGATTTTATTATTTTATCCTTAAATTTTTTTCTCTATTCATGTTTTTTCTTACTGTAGTACTGTACTTTTTGCAAATAAATTTATTATTATTATTATTTCTATTTTAAGTAATGTATTTTATTAATATTTATTTAAACAAACAAAAGTAACTTCTGTCACCAACCATTTAAACCATTTTACATTATTTTACATATTTTTACCAACTCAAATTCCATAAGTTATGCCAGGATTCAAACCCAGAACTGCTAATGTAGCTCTTTTATTCATTATTTATGACATGCTATATTGAAGTACAATATAAAAAATTAATATCGACGTTTCTTTTTAGAATCCTCAGCCATCTGAGAAATGGGAAAACGTGTTGGATGGCACGCAACCACCATCTATGTGTGTTCAGTTCAATCTTCATGCAGCAAAAGGGAAAAGGGACGCTTTTGGTTCAGAGGATTGCCTTTACGTTAATGTATTCACACCAGAAACCAGCCCAAAAGAGCTTCTACCAGTCTTAGTATTTATCCATGGCGGCTCATGGAGAGCAGGCGGTGCACCGGGGAAATATGGAGCTGGGTATATCATGGATGAAGACGTCATCCTCATCACTATGCAGTACAGGGTTGGGATATTGGGCTTTTTAAGCACTGAAGATGATTCGATTCCTGGCAACTTTGGCCTTAAAGATCAAGCCCAGGCGTTGAAATGGGTCAAGGAAAATATCAAATCATTCGGTGGAGACCCAGAGAAAATAACAGTCTTCGGAATGTGTGCAGGTGGTGCGAGTGTCTACTATCAGGCCATATCACCGCTCACTAAAGACCTGATACAAGGAGCTATTGCTGAAGGAGGGGTCGCCAACAAATTTTGGGGCTTGGCGCAACCTGGAAGTGCTAAGAAATTAGCTAACAAATTAGCCGGCTTTCTCGATTGTCCCCCAACCTCGGAGGAACTATGGAAATGTCTTATAAATAAAAAAGCAACGGATATTCAGGAAGCTGAAGAAAAGTTTATCGTTAGTGTTTTTATTTTGTCTGTTCATTGTTTAAAATAGGGAACTTTTACAAATGCTAATTTTCTATTTAGGATAAATTAATAATTTAGATTTCATTTCAACATTGAGATTTTAATTCCCAAATTAATTAATTACTTTGGATTTTTAGTATTGGGACATAGAACCATTGGTGGTATTTCAGCCAGTAATAGAAAAACCAAATGAAGGAGCTTTCTTGACAGAGGACCCAATGAAAACCAAACTGACCTTACCATTGATCACAGGCTTTTCAAATGATGAAGGCTTAATTAAAATTGGATGTAAGTCAGTCAATCGTATTTTAAAATTTAAAATAAATTACTTAATTTTTTAGCGCTTGCTGGGCGAGATGAATCTGAAACTGAATTGTTTTTGAACAACACAGAACAATATCTGAAGAAAATGCTTTATGTGGAAGAATCTGAGGAGCTGGATCAGACTGTCAAGGCAATCATGGATCGCTACTTCAGTGGTACTTTGGACGACAAAATCAACGGACTGAAAGAAGTAAAAATGTCAAAAATATTTGAATCAATGTGTTTAAAATATCTAATTTGGATAACTTTGGTGACAATTGAATTAAATGAACTTTTGAATTGTTCTAAATAAGTCTTCAAGTTCGTAAAATGTTTATTTTGACAAATATTTGGTCATTCTATCAAAAAGAATAAAAAATGAATTAAAAAAACTAATAAGGATTATCTCTAAAACTGAATACTTTTAGTTTTACAGTTTTATGTACTATGTGACACCAGTTTACAAACTGCTTCAAACTGAAGGAGAAAACATTCACATGTATGTTTATAACTACAAATCTGGCCAGTCTGCATACAATCTTTTCTCTGGTGGAAAGAATTTCCAAGGTATTTAACTAACATTACAAATATTTAAATTTTGAAAATTAAAAGCAAAAACTAGCAATTCTGTACTTTTTTAGGCGTAGGGCATGCAGATTCATTATTGATATTATTTAACATGACTGAGCATTTCCCAAATAAGAATCCCGATGAGGAAGAAGCATCAAAAAATCTTATCCAATTGTGGACCGACTTTGCCAAATCTGGGTAAAAAAAATTATAGTTAACCAACTCTTTGTTCAACGTAATTAACTTAATCTATTCACACAGGGAACCATCACTTGAGAAAATATCGTGGAAGGAAGGAAAAACTGGTGACTACTTAGAAATTACTAAAGACAAGATGATGAAGAAGGACTACAAGAAAAAAGAATTGCAGTTTTGGATGGATCTTCCTTTGATCAAGAATATTAATATTGTGACACACTATTTGTAAATATATAATAAATAAAGTGTTTTCAAAGATTATATTATGATGTAACATTGTATAACCAAAACAATTATGCATGAGTGCTCTAAATCTGGATTTAATTTTGAAAGTAGCTTATATAATTTTTCTTATTTGGAAAATTTCGATCCAAAAGTGAAAAAATGAAGTTTCACTTTCAATGACAATTCATTCCAGAAATACTGAATTATATAAAATAAACAAATAAACGATTTTAGAAAAATTTATAAGCATCTATTATTAAAAACTATATTTGGCTAAATTTAGAATTATGCAGACATATCTGTAAGATCTGTCTTATCAAAATAGCCAATCAAAACAAATCCCAATAAAAAGTTGTTTGTCAATTTCTAAAAACTGTTTTAGCATGAGAAAGATAACTGTCCTTTAGGTCAAGAGGTGAGCGATAAATAGACGCATAAATAGATATTGAATATAACAGTTTGTAGAACCTCGTCACTTTAAAATGGTTCTTTTGTATTTTATCCTATTTGCTGGACTCATTGAGGCTCGCATTGTGAGGACACCGCTGGGCGATGTCATCGGATCGGTGCAGACATCCCGTGCGGGGAGAAAGTATTACTCTTTTATGAAGATACCGTATGCCAAACCTCCTGTTGGAAATCTGCGCTTCAGGGTAATTTGATAGTACTTATTATGTCATTTGAATAAATAAAATAATAATATTAATAAAATAATAAATTTTTTGCTTCTGTATATTTATAATATTTTCTCTTCTTCAGAATCCTGAGCCAAGAGGCGCTTGGTATGGTCTACGAGATGGGAGGGAGAGGCCGCCATTTTGCTCACAGTTAATAATTTTCTCACCAAGAATACCAAAATATGTAATGGGTGAAGAAGATTGCCTCTATCTCAACATATTTTCTCTCAGTGTAAATTCCAATTAATTTTGCATTTTGACATTCTTCCAATTTGAATTTGATGGTTATTTTAATTTTTTTTAAATTATATACTTAATCGAACATAGCTTCATCATATCTAAAAATTTTCTTTGTTATTTTCGATTGTCCAAATTATTCAGGCATTTTGTTATTCAGCACAAACAAGGAATGAAGATGTCCGTGATGGTGTATTTTGTTGGGGACAATTTTCGATTTGGAATGGCAAACGAGCCAGGCCTGGGAAATTATCTCATTGATGAAGAAGTGATCCTCGTTGTGGTGCAGCACAGGTTGGGCGCACTCGGTTTTCTCAGTCTTGAAGATGATATAATCCCCGGCAACTTCGGTCTCAAGGACCAAGCCCTCGCACTCGACTGGATCAAACAGTACATCAAGTATTTCGGGGGGAATCCAAACAGTATTACAGTCTTTGGCGATGGGTCTGGAGGAGCGAGCGCACATTTTCTAGCTGTTTCACACATGACAAAGGACATTGTAAAAGCCGTCATATCTCAGGGGGGAGTTGCCAATGATATCTGGGCCTTGGCGAAACCAGGGAAGGCAAAGGAGACAGCAGAAAAAGCCCTCCTGATGCTCGGTTGCTCTGGTGCATCATACAAAATTCTTAGCTGTTTAAGGGATAAAAATGCCTCTGAAATTATGAAGACTGAATATGAACTCATCGTAAGTATTTCCTGAAAGTAATGATATTTAAAATAGTAAGTAAAGCACGTTCAAATTATTTTTGAGATAACTGACTTGCTCAGAAGTACATGTTCAGCAAAGATAAAAATACTTAGTCATAATGAAAATAAGCTGACATTGTGAAATATGCTGAGTGTAGAATTTTAATTTCAACAAAAACAACAGAACCCATAACTCAATCAATTGCATTTGCACAGGCTACCTCTTCATAAAGATAATTAAGGTGTTCAGAAAATGACTCCAAATCCAATTATCTTTGAACCCCTAATATTTCTGAAATTAAGCCCAAACTGTCAGACTTCAAAAATACTTTTACCTATGAGCCTGATAGTTTTTGTTGAAATTAAAACCCTGTACGTAGCAAGTCTGCTCAACAACCAAATTAACAAAACAACCAAACAAAAAAAGGTTTTTTTAAATTAATTAATTTGTAAGTGTTGGTTTTCTTCCAGTATTGGGACATGGAACCCAATGTGGTCTTCCAGCCGGTAGTGGAGAAATATAAAGCTGGCTCCTTCCTCTATGAGAATCCTTTGAATTCCAATACCAGCTTTCCTTGGTTGGTCGGGTTTACATCGGATGAGGGCCAATATAAGATTTATTGTACATAATATGAGCCAAATAAAAAGAATTGTTTTTATCTGTCTTGATTTTATAGCGATGGAGAGCCAACGCTACGATGAGTTTAAGCCATTTTTGAACAATTTAGATTCTTTTATAAAAAAGATGTTCTACCCAGCAAATGAATCGCAGAAACTCGACGAGACTGTGAGGATGATCCGACAACGATATTTTCCAAAAATCAATGATAAACAGAAAATGCTAACAGGATTGAAAGATGTAATTAAATTAAATATTAAATATTTAATGATTAATAGGGGTAAAGAAAAATATAAACACTAAAGACAATAAAACAGTTTATTCTTCATGAAAATAAATTGATAAAATAGGTATTACCTGGCCATTGAATTTATAATAATAGAAAAATAATTTATTTCCTGTTTGTACGCTTTGTCAGAAAAATTTAACTGAAACTATTAATTATTTGAGTACTTTTACAGAGGTTTTCCCTATTTGCTACAAATTAATTTCTTTACAACCTTCATTCAAATATGATGAAAATGAATATGCTTTTTAAAAACAAGTAGTTCTTATAATAATTAACGAGGTGTTTTATTTTCAGTTTTATGGTTTCTTGAATTATGTTGTACCAACATTCCAAGCACTGAGGAGACATGTTGGTCAGAGCTACCTTTATGTGTTTGATTTCAGATTCACATCCTCACCACACTCTGCTTCGCCAAGATATGGATTCAAGGGTAGAAAAAAATTGCTATAAAGTTTATAAATTAATTGCAAACTTATTTCTTTGCGCATTAGGGGCACCCCATGCTGAGGAAACGGTAGCCCTGTTCGACTGGACGGATCCGCTCGATATGAGAGAAGAACAAAAAGTGTCACGTGAGGTGACAAAAATGTGGGCCAACTTTGCAAAATATCAGTGAGTGGTCGAATATACAAAAATAAAGTCTCAAATAATTGAATTGTCAATCATTCAGGAAACCTACAATAGAGCTAACGCTGCAGTGGCCACAGTTTATAAACGAAAAGTACTTGCTTATCAGAGAAAACATCACTGCTGAGAAATTCTATAGGAAAAGTGAAATTGAATTCTGGATGAATCTACCAATATTCAATTGAGATATATTATTTTATTGCAAATAAATATTTATTGATCATCATTTTTATATTTTTAGTTTGGCCCCTTCAGCCTTTGAAACTAACCCAGCAATTACCAGTCTGTCCACTAAATTGTTGTTAGTAGTTCGTTTGAGGTAGGATCTTCAGTGATAGTGTCAAACTTCTCTTTGTCATCTAGTAGGTCATTAATTAATTAATGAATTAATCAAAATAACACTACAGTGTTTTAATTTACATTATTGGGTAAAGTAATGATATAATTAGATTGTATTGGGTTGTCCGGAAAATAATGCAGGATTTTAAGTTTTCATTAAAAAAAATCTATATAAAATATTCTGTTTACGTTTACAGGATTACTCATTTGTANTGATTAAAGAACATTGCTTTAAAGTAACTAGTTTCTTTTTTTTTGTTTAATACCAAAATCCTGCATTATTTTCCGGACAACCCAATATTATGAAAACAATTCTTCACGATCTCACTGTAACTCTGTTAATGTATGTATTTTTCAATAAATAGGCCCTGAGGGTAGCAGTATAAAATGCCGAAAGCCAGATGAACTCAAAAAAGTCCACTTCATCATGACTTATGAAGAACCTCAAAAAATTCTAATTTATAAAATTATTAAGCAGAGTTTCTAGATTATACAAATGTATGGGGATTCTTGTTTCAAGTGGCCATTAATAATTTTGGTAGATTTTAATTTTATGAAAGAGCATTGAAAAATTACTTTATTTCTATATTATTTCTATTATACTTAAGTTCTTCTATTCTATTATACTTAAATATGTACCACACTGGCTCTTTTTTAAAATAAACTGTTATAAAATATTAATGACTGACGACCACTGTTTGAACCATTGCGTTAACTCACCTGAGGAAGGATTAAAATAAATCCGAAACGTTTTTGGAGAAAATCATAAGTTAAACTGTTGAGGTCGAAATATAAGAAAACATTGTTTATTTTTTATTGTATTTTCTTTAAAGTTAGGGTTATTTGTAAGAAGTCGGATGTGTTAGATGAGCGTTAAATGGAAATGTTCGATCACTCCATTTGACTCAGGATGTTGAGATGAAATAAAATAAATTACAATTTTATGCAATACAATTATAATATACAAATAGAGATATGTTGTGTTTTGTAATAATACAAAAAACTAAAGCTCTCAGATGCTATTGGTGGTGTATAGTTTTAGTAATAATTTTCTAAAATTATTGGTTGTGTATATTGCTCAACCTTTGACTCACCCGATAAATACATGGTTTTCTGAAGGGTACTTTCCAAAATAGCTTTAAAAATGCCAGATATTTCCTGTTTGTGAAGGGGAGGGGTAAGGATTTGATCAGTAACTACTGCCAAATTACTCTTGTACCCATGTCAAAAATATTTGTCTCTGCTTTCAAAAATAGAATCGAAGCTTTTTAGTCAAAAACAACATATTGTCACTAAATCAATTTGGCTACTGACAAGGAATAAACATGACAGATATGTTGAAAAAATTGTCTCAAATATTCACACTGTGTACCACAATAAAGATGTGGTAAAGTTAGACAGAACTGATCTTAGCAAAGCCTTTGGTATCGTCTCTTACAATATCCTCATAGATAAGTTTCACTAAAAATGGGATCTGAGGGGAGGTACAAGACTTCTGGGTAAAAGGGCAAAATCAAATGGTTAAAATGAAAAATAATACATCCATGGCCAAATAGAACATGGGGTTCTCCAGGGGTCTGTACTGGGTCCTAGTCTTTTTACAGAATATGTAAACGACTTAAAAAATTACCTTAAGAAACAAAATTTTACATAATGTACATATATTTCCAATTGTTGACGACTCTCCAATAGTTTGAATAACTAAAAATGTGGAGAAACTTATTAAGTTTTAACTTATTAACTTATTTATTTAAATTTAATTACAGACGAAACTATGCCCTTTTTGCTCAATTGGTTTATTGAACATTATATGGATATACATATGCAACCATTAAACCATTGACTCAGCACTCATCATTGTAAGGTAAAGGTCCTGAGTTCGAATCCAGCAGCTCTGCATTTTTTTCAAAAGCATTGACACCCCAAGAGTTGATATGATCTCTGATGTTGCAAATCCCCAATGGGAAAAACCCAAGTATTTATTTTCAATTAATTAATCTTTAATTAAGGTTTTGGTTTAGATGGGTCAGTGTCACAAGCGGGATTCGAAAGGCATTTTTTTTCGGATTGAAAAATGGCAAAAAGGAGGGAAAATTCAAAAGGTAGGGTTGAGATGGGAAGTTAGTGTCCGAGTGGATCAAAGTCACAATAGCTCAAGTGGTAGAGCAGTGGCGTATTTAGCCGAAGGTCGTGAGTTCGAATCCCACTTGTAACACTGACTTTTTATCTCAACCAAAACCTTAATTAAAGATTAATTAATTGAAAAGAATTTATTTGGTCAAGCAGACCACAAAACCTTATAAATGTAAACCTAGTATTTATTTTTCCTACCCCTAAGACCCCTAAGTATTTAAAATTCACATCATGTAAAACTTGTAAAAAAGAGAACATTTTCATGTGGCAAATTAAAGGAATAATAAATATATATTTTATAAATATATATATAAATATACAGTCAGTTAATATAAAGTTATTTATTGTGGTAGTTTCATTGGAGAGAAATGAAGTTTTGTTTATAAAATATAATATGACTTTTTTGATAATAGTTAAACATCTTCATCAGATTTGGTTTTTAATGAGGTGTAACGTACCCACAAGCCATCCTTGGCCGAATGGAAGAATGTGTTCAACGGGTTAAGCTCCAGTTTAGTATGTACATTGTCTTTAGATTCCAAGTTGAAATGAAGTACTGTTATGACAACTGCCAATTTTATCATAGTATACGCAAATTTATAGCCTAAAACAAGTAAATTATCTTTTTTTAAATAAATGAATGCAATTATTTGTTAGCAGTAAAACCTTTGATATTATAACAGTGTAACATTAAAAACATCAAAGAAAGGGATTTCTTGTGACAAAAACTATATTATTATGGATAAACGCAACAACAAATATGTTGAAAGTTCTTTTTCAATTTTCATTTTTGTGTCATCGATTTTATATTACCAGGTTAGGGACAGATTAGGTTAGACAAGGGCAGAGTTACAGTTACAGTAAGATTATGTATACATAACACAATGTTTTTACATGAAGTGCAGAAAATATACATCAGTCAGTTTTTTACTCATGCAATAGCGCCTTAACATTTACAAATACCGAAAATATTTTTTTAAAAATTACCTGGACACGATCTTGGTCCTCCACCAAAAGGAAAATAACAGAATTCAGGCCTTTTTGCTATGTTTTCTTTTGTGAATCTCAGAGGATCAAATATTTCAGGATTTGGAAAATATTCTGGATCATTGTGCAGAGAGTACATCGGAAGAGTGACAGACATCCCTTCTTCAATATGAAGGCTTATATTTCGCTTTGGATTAGTTAAAACAACCGATTTATTACAAAGCCTTGCCATTGTTGTCCCGGGAGGATGTTTCCTTAATGTTTCTACATAAAAGTTGAATTTATTATTAAAATATTCAATTTTTTGATAAGGGTTAAATCACCTTTTAAAACCATGTCCAAATAATTGAGTCCATTTAATTTTTCAAAATCAAAGTCTCTTATCTTCAGTCCGACTGTTTGAATTTCATTTCTCAGAGTTGTTTGTACCTTCGGATTCAATGAAATCTCATGTACGATGAATGCCAAAAAAATAGACGTAGTTTCAAATCCATCAAGGAAAAATGTCATACAGTGTGCAGCCATTTCCTGGTAGTTGTATACTTCAAATTGTAGAAATTTAAAATTATACAATTTGTTATCCTTAAAAAAAATTGCTGAATATTTACATGGGCCTTTTCCTTGTTGTAGATGTTCTAAATTTGCATCAATCAGCATCTGCAGAAAATCATTTCTCGAAATACCATTTTTTATACGATAATCTGAAGCTTCTTTTATTATTGCAACAAAATAATCGTTGATCTCATCCGAAAAAATTCTCAATAGAAATAGAGACATAGTTAGTTTTAAGCATTTGCACATTAGAAAATAAATACAATAAAATTTTTATTTACTTAAATTTTAATAAACGGCCCAACTTTTTCATGTAAAGTGCACAGAAAAGGGCCAAATTGCCTTTTATTCCAGTATTAAACATTTTACTCGACACTTCTCTCAGTTTTGATTTGGAATCTGTAAAAGATTGACTGTCCAAACCAAACGCACAACTAGCTATAATATCAGTAGTGTATTTGCCAAACACATCGTAACCCTACAAAATAAAGTTTATTTGTTGTTTAGTGGACAACCTCATAAAATAGTTTCAATTACAATTAAAGATACTATTAAACTGTAAATGTGACGATTAATAGACTACGGACACCAGTCTATTTTGAATAAATGAAAATTTATTACCTCTAAAAACTCATTTTGATTTAGTTCTAGATAAGCTTTTAAATTGTCACAAATAAAGTATATTTGTGGCATCATTCCTTTAATTTTGCATAGTGTGAGTGAAGATGTGACTGCCATTCTCGATCGGGTCCACCTTATATTAAAAAAAAATTATTCTTGCCATAATGAAGAATTAAATATTACTTACTCAGATCCTACAAGGTTGAAAGGATTGAGACCAAGTATCGGTTCCAGCTTTGGATCCACATACCAATCGTTCCCCTGGAAAGAGTTGAATTCTTTCACAAAAACTGCTTTTATGAGCTCTGGATCTCTGAGCATAATCGACGGACTGATGAAACGATACATTCCACCATAAGGTAGATCTTTAAACTTCCTTCACCATGTTACAAAATTAATAGGTGGAATATTGTCAAAACGTATTTTCTTCTTGTATTTTACTTACCAGTATATTTCATCATACACTTCACCAAGTGTTTTATGCATAAAAATAATATCTTTTATGTTCCCAAATGGGAAAGTTGGTGGAACGTAAGGAATTTTGCGCTTCTCCCAATAAAACTTAGTTCTCCTCCACAGTAATAATGGCAGAAGTAATAAAATAATAAGAACTAACAACATCCCAATCATCTATAATAAAATAAATACATGTTTTAATTAAAACATCAAAATAAAATATTTAAACTAAAATATTTGACCCCCCCCCCAGTTTGACCGCATTCAATTATCAACCTCTAATGAGGGCGTGCTGGCCCTGCAGCCTATACAGAACTTACAAAAGTAAAGTAATAAAAGTATCATTTAAGATTTTAAACTTAATTGGCTGGAGACCTGGGTAAAAGGATATTTGGAAAAGGACTACAAAATTCAAACTAAAAAACGTTTATTCGAAACAGAAACTAAAAACAATTATAAGCATTGATTAGAACTAAACTAAAAATTTTGAATCAGCAAATTAAAACAACCACCACCTGGATTAAAACAAATAAAAATACTTAACACCAACTAACAACAAATATCTCTCTGAAAAGAGTAGTTAGTACTGCAATAAGTGAAAAACAGTAAAATAAGAGTTTTAACTAGTCTAAGTTTTAGTGTCGCAGAGATAAATTTATGATATTTCCATAAATTTAAAGTCCCATTCACCCTTCTAGCAACAAAGCCAAAGTCTAAAAAACAGGCTTGAATAACAATGCCTTATTTAAAGAAATTTTAGAATTGCATAAAATAAACCTACATTTTACTTCAACTCAGCACCCAGAATCTAATGGAACTGCAGAAAGATTCCACAGTACATTTCTATAACATATCAGTCAAGATATATTGAAATCAAACTCTATAAACACAAAGGTAAAATATGCAATTTTAGCATACAATAACACAAGAAATTCAGTCACAAAATGCACCCTATTCGAGATTGTATATGTTCATCTTGAAACAGAACACACTCGTTATGAAATGGTCATAGAAAATCAATTATTTAACAACTGCGTTGAAAACTATAAAGAACAAATCAAACTGTACAATAAAATTAAAGAATCCATAAATGAAAATAAAGAAAAAGTACTAAAATTAATAAATGCCAACGGTAGGAATTGCTTCACATACTGGAAAAGGTCTATGTATAAAACAACAAAAACAAAGAAAAACACGAATAAAATATAAACCCAAAAATATTGAAAAAATAAACAAATCATTAAAAACTGCTAAAATAATGCACACACATTTCAACACAAGGAAAAAGATACACTTTTCTTGATGACATCATCGCGGGTCACATTCTCTGGACACCGACACCATAAAGGGCATAACCAACAATCCAGCAATATTACCAATCAACTTAGGGACAGCAAAACTAGAGATATCACATTCATTATTTTTATTTAGAGCATTTTTTCTCAGAATTTTAAATAATTAGTATCGATGATTTTATGATTTCATTAAAAGATCAACCAAACTGTTTTATAGTTTATAAAAGATAAAATTCATCATCATCATTTACTTGCTCACACAACAAACAGAAATAAAAGAAAGAAGCCTTTAACAAATTCAAGGGTAATGTAAAATCCAATTAAAGTAATTTGAAGAATCAGTTAAATTTAATGTATTCCATAAATAATAAAATAATAAACGATTTCAACAAAACCATTAAAACCCTTCAGATAAATGGTGAGGAGTAAAGATAAATTTAATTGGGAGATATGTAAGAAAAAATATAGCAATTATTGAAATCAAAGACGCATTGCATCTATTACAAACATTATATCACCTACTCTTGAATACTTTGGAAGAAATTAAAAATTCAGTTTTTTTTTTTTTGCAAAATTGAGACAATTCACCCTTCCATCATTAGCGTTCATGAATTATTTTCAGAATTAAAGCAATTTGAGACTCATTATGGAAATAAAATGTACCTTAGATTTTCATATTAATAATATCCTTAATTATGAAAATCTGTTGAAAATGTATTGTAAAATTGAAGTAGATCAAACAGTCTATTTTAAGGAAGGTCCAATTTGATCTGAACACCATTTTGAACTATTTAACATGTAACCTGTCCCAAGTAAATATCAAAATAAATTTATAACAATTATCCTGCATACTCCTTACGTATTAAAATCAGAAAATAACAAAATTGCTTATCTCAATAATATATTGGCTTAAACCCATCAAACTCCATGCGAGGAGGACATCTTGCTGACAGGATCCAGCTCCGTCTGCACTACACTCAGGGCAATCTAATAATTTTTATTATGGAGATTAATCAATTTTTTGGCTATTCTTGTAGAACCAGAAACAGTATAATTTTTGAAGTCGGAACAGAAGCAAAAACTTTAACTGGGGTATTCTTCATAAAAGTAGCTAGTAGAAACCTTGTTTTCAAGGGCAAACAATTCTTCTACTTCTTTAGGAAAGCTTGTTTTACTACAGACTATCAACATTAGGCTGGCAGCAACTTCTAGAATTCAAAGTCACCCTCAAAAGGTTTGATTTGAAAAACATTTTTATTAACCCTATTAAACATAATTTCACAACTCCCACAATCTATTCTAAACCAAGTGGACATCATAATCTCCATATCAAGAGGGCTGAAAGTGCTTGTTTTCCATGTAGATGTGTCATTATTGTGTGCCATGTTGAGAGTGTCCATCCCGTGTCTCACGATCTCCAAACAATCATTAACTAACAGTCACTAAACACCACACATTAATGATAATTTGTGTAATAATTTTTTACAAAAAGAAACAGGTTTTTGTTGTAAATAACTCATCAAAATGTAATCCAAATGCTCTGGAGATGTAAAGACTAATAATTATATTAACCAATGTAATGTATACTTGAATAATATAATTAGCGATATAAAATTGTAATAATTCCCATGGTTGTGGACACGAGTAGACAATATTCTTAGAAACAATGTAGTCAGCAATATGCATTTTCTCCCTCTCCTGATTTATCTCATTACAACGAGATGTCTAACTATCAATTCACTCTCTTTTCATACATAGAAGTGGAACATCTCAACTGTTTTATTCAGTTAGTTAAATAAAAGTTCTTTTTAAAAACCCTTTTGTTTATTTGCCAGAGTTAAATTATATATATATAATCTAGTTTTGTATATATAAAATCTAATTCTCAATGTTATTTTTTTCTGCCCTATGTATAAAATAAATAAAAATATAAATTTATATATATATATATGCAAAAATATTACAATTATTGTGCAACTACAAAAGAAAATTTAATAATTATTAAAATATATATATTTATATATACTTAATTTTTAAATTTTCTATTATAGTTGCACAATGATTGTAATATTTTTGCATATATATATACAAATTTATATTTTTATTTATTTTGTATATAAGCCAGCAAAGAATAACAACACTGGGAATTAGATTTTTCACAACACTCTTTCATCAAATATATTGAAATGTGCTTCTTTGTCTTGAGAATGGGTATCTTGAATTAACAATTTTTTTCCTTGCAAATATTGTCAAACAGTGATTATATTTGAGAAATATTTAGTAACAACATTAAAAATAATTGTACTAAAAATATTTTCCATAGGTCAGCTTGAGTAACTGTTAATTTAAAAACAAAAACAAAAAGAAAATCAATACCTGAAAAGACCAGGAAGACCTTGGCTCTGTCACAGAAGGGCAACACAAAACTAATCTCGGCTGTGTTATTTACAATTCTGCTCTGGTGGGGTTCGGATATTCTGGTGGGGCGGGTGAGTCATATTTGCTTACATGCTGTCATATGTTTACAAATTTATCATAACAAGTTGATTAATAAATTATACATTTTTATAATCTGTAATTTTAACCATATATGACACAATAGTTCAACCTTAATGGAATTCATGCTAAAAAATTATCTATGCCTATCCGAAATATTATTTATTTCGTTTTTTGTATGGCCCTATGCACAAGACTGGCAAAATCATGACTGTAAGCCAATTTAAAAAAAAAAAGTTGGGTGTGTGGTCTAGAGCACATGGTGGAAGTGTAAATTAGGTACAGGCAGATACGAAATACAATTTTTGGTCTTTATTTTGTATAATCACAATGTAATTACGTTCAAAATGTATACAATTATGATTGTGTAGGAATTTGATTGTGCTCTGAATGATTGTATCAGACTCTAGAAACGAAACTATTGGTTTATGGTAACTGAAATATGAGACAAATACTTTTGATTGAAATAAATTTCCTAAATATCTCACAAAAACTTCGTCAATCGTTGTTCCATATTTCGTTGTACTTTCATTTGGATCATTGGACATATTAAGATCTAATTTTGTTTTCAAAAAATCTACTAGAGGCTTTGATGTATCTTTGGAGAAGTCAACATTGAAATCTCCACTCATAATCATTGGTAATGTATGGAAATGTTCTTCGAGAAGAGCAGATCCTTCTTTGGTGTAGATAATTAAGTTTGCGTGGATGAATTTGATGATGTCTTTTACACTATGATTAGGTGAAATATAAATAGCTACTATTACAATTTCTTGTCTATTTTCTATTATACATTTCGATACACAAATTTCGCCAATTGGTGATATATTGAATCCAAATGTTTCTGAATGTTGAAGTGTGACATCCATCAGTGAACTAACAAGAGTCGACGTGTCTCTCCTATTTTTGAATATAGCTACACCTGCAGATCGGCGATCTGGTCTTTTGAATTTCACAACACAATCAAAATTCGGGACATAGACGTTTTCTTGATAAAATCAGTATAGTCGAACGTTGTGTATAGGTGGCCATTCACGATCGCTCCAAGCAGTCCAAACGGAGCGACGCCGTTCCAAAAACCACGTCAATGGCAAAACTGAACTGGCGTGCCCGGCTGTGCCTAATATTCGACCGGTCCAAACTCCATCGCGCTACTCCAAATATCTACGGCGCGACGACGGCATGGCGCGTTCGTGAATGCGAAAACCTGGCGTAGAGCGTGGGGATTTGGTGCGGTGGCCTGGGCGTGAATGGGAAAACCCTCGTTTTTTTTGGCGGTTTCCGTCTTTCTGTCACTGAGCAAACATCTCCGTCGTACATTCTCAAAAAGTCAAAAACGTTTATTCTTTATTGGTAATGACATCCAATCGAGATTTTATTGTTGAGGTGATTGAAATGTATGAAAGTTTACCATGTTTATGAAAGTTGTGGACAATGATAATATTATCTCGATAGAAATAAAAGAAATTCGATCCTCAACCAGTTGGTCGACGTTTTCAAAACAAAGGATACAAATGCAATGAGAGATGAGGTATTGACAACCCCTAACAATGATCAGAAACCGTAGGAGAGAACTTAAGTTCTTTGTAGTTCATCCCTGTAGCGAGAAATCGTAATGTGGTTGCCAACCTTTCATGTAGTGCTGATTTCTCTCTGACTGTCTTTTGTTTTCTAATCAAGGGGGTAACAAGCTGGAGTAAATATAAATAAGACGTTAATCTTTTTTTTGTAAGGTTTTGGTTGAAATGAAAAAATAGTGTCACGATGGGATTCGAATCCTCGACATTCGGCTAAATACGTCGCTGCGCTAACCACTTGAGCTGACTTCGATAGTTCGATCCACTCGGGCACCAACTCCCCATCTCAACCTACAACCTTTCGAATTTTCTCTCTTTTTGCCATTTTTTGGTGTCGGAGANCTTTCATAAACATGGTACACTTTCATACAATTCAATCACCTCAACAATAAAATCTCGATTGGATGTCATTACGAATAAAGAATAAACGTTTTTGGCTTTTTGAGAATGTTCGACGGAAATGTTTGCCCAGTGACAGAAAGACGGAGACTGCGCCAAAAAAACGAGGGTTTTCCCATTCACGCCCAGGCCACCGCACCAAATCCCCACGCTCCACGCCAGGTTTTCCCATTCACGAACGCGCCATGCCGTCGTCGCGCCGTAGATATTTGGAGTAGCGCGATGGAGTTTGGACCGGTCGAATATTCGGCACAGCCGGGCACGCCAGTTCAGTTTTGCCATTGACGTGGTTTTTGGAACGGCGTCGCTCCGTTTGGCCTGCTTGGAGCGATCGTGAATGGCCACCTTTAGTCGACTCGAGCCGATTCTACCCGAATGAGCGTTACATCTTCGAGCGTGACGGCTCAGTCTCATTCAATACTCATAAAATAAAAATAATAATAATAATAAAAAGTGCTGAGCGCGCCTAAAGAAGTTTTCACTTACAACCCATAAATTAAAACAAAACAACTTATGAAAATTTAGAAAAATAATATGCCATAACTTAATTATAAATCATGAATACCCGGATCTAAAAATAATCCGGATGAAAAAAAATTAATTCAATCGTTATCTGCCCAGCTTTTGACCTATTATCAGGGCAAAACAACCTTAAAGATATTAACAAATTGGCATAATTTTAATATATGCTTCCAAATGTCTTTGAAGATTCAAACATTCAATTATTCAATAGTATTACATCCTTGGCATTGTTGGAACTGAGTCTTTCTTCAAAGAAATCTGAAACTATCTATGAAAAACTTAATCGTATAAAATGGTAGACATTCTCATAAATGTTTTGCCTTGAGGATGATTTAAAATAGGGCAAAAGTTGGGCAGTAAAAATTTAATTTGTTTTTATCATCCAGAATTCCAGACCATACCTAGATCCAGATTATTCGAGAGTGAAAAAGTGGTAAATATATCTAACACTTTAATCAATTGTAAATCTTAACATGGTAACAAATCATTTTCTTAGGTTTTTAAATTTTATTTGGCAAGTCTTGTCAACATCTTGGAAATTGAAACGAGACAATGTGCTATCTGTTTTGGTCCATAGTGATAAACATAAAAATAAAATTGTGTGTACATTGTGTTTTGTTGTCTGAAACATTGTGCAGGAAGAATAAAAAGGTGACAAAACACATAATCCTTTTCTGGCTGAATAATTCCACATCGCTAATATTTCGAAATACAGCTATCCACTAGGATCTACATTAAAACTGTGTGAAGTGGTACTGAGTATTTCTTTTTTGTTGTAATTTTAGTTGGAATTTTTGTTCCAATTGTGCCAAAAGTGGTTAGTATTTGTTCTTTAAATTTTTAAAACAAACATGCCTTTTTTACTTTTCTTTATCTCAGTCATTATGGCGCCACTTTCATTTTTTAAAAATGCTTGTCATCGTTGAAATCGATGCTCATGTTATTTTTTAAACCATTTCAAATACAGCCCTAAGGAGAGAATTTTTAAATAATTTGGCTTAAATTTGATGAAAAAATGGTTTCAGGAGAGAGGCAGTATAAACAATCTTCCAAAAGATATAATCTTTGGATCTTTCACGATATCATTGTCATAATTTCCAAAATTGAACTTTCCTCCTATTCAAAATCATACTGTTGGCCATAACACAATGCGGAAATCATCAAATAGAAAAACAATTATAACACACTCAGAATGAATCGCATTTGTAGAAAACGCCACAGTACGCAATTAAATTTACAAGATAACGGCTTTTTTTGACAAAATATGTATAACAAAAATAGTTTAAAATATTGTACATAATTATCAAATTGTACTGATTAATCCAATATTAATTGGGATTTTTTTTTAAATTTATGACTAGTAACGAGTCACACTACAAATTCCTGATGATTCATTTTGTTTAGTGTAATTTATTATCAATATTGATCTTTGAAAATAATTGATAACATTGCTCTTATTAATAATTGTTCTACAATTCAGTATCAACAATGGTTTAACAAATTCACAGATTTCAAGTGTAATCCGTGGATTTTACTTTTTAATTAAAATATTTTCTTAATGTTCGCTTCTTGAGTTGAAGTATCAGGTAGTTTAATTGACAAAGATAAACCAGTTATTTTAAGGGTTTCATTTCTCATATGTTTGTAATAATAATCAATCAAGGAACAGAAGTCAATAATAAAGAATATCTTATCTATTAACAAATTTATCTTTGTGTACTTCAAGTGCAGAGTTGCAAAAAGTACACAGGGAGTCAAACATCATTTTAAAATTTCTAACTTAGAAACAATGGATTGTTTCAGTACATTATTGTTAATTCTTTCATTGATTTTGGTCAGTTTTTTCTTTGGCACTTGGAATGAAAACTATTGGCTCAAAAGGAATATCCCTTTTATCCAATCAGAGATATTTTTTGGAAATATAAGAGATGTCGTTACAATGAAAAAAACAATAGGCCAAGTCTACTCTTGCATTTACAAGTGAGTAGTTCAATTTAATATGATTAATTTTTTGTAAATACTTTTCATGACAGAAAACTAGACAAAAAGCCTTTGGGAGGCTTCTTCAAACTACAACAGCCGATAATTATGATCAAGCATCCGGATTTAATCAAGGAGGTTTTTGTCGATAAATTCGAATTTTTCAACTCTAATGATATTCAAGTGAGAAGAGATACAAATCCTATTCTTAAAATGAATCCACTTTTATCATCTGGAGCAACGTAAGTCAAATTTTAAACATTTTTCCAATGTTTTCCTGTGTAACAATGAAATCTTTGTTCAAATCATACTAACATTATTTTTAATATATATTACCAATTATCTTTAAAAGTAGAAGTAATCATGAAATTGAAATTATTCTGGTTCAATTTTTTTTAAATATTTATTAACATGAAAACCTTATTTATTTTTGTTATTCAATTTGATAGTAGAACTTTTTTTTATAAGTGTATTTCATCGTTTACTACATATTTGTTGTTTTATTCACAATATATTTTGTGATGTGTTAATGTTTGGTTCTCGTTCAATATCCTTCTATTGAAATTTGTAAGCTAGTTCTTGCTTTTAAGTCCTTACATTAGCGCAACTTATTGTTGTCCTTGAGGCATTGGAGTTGTGTCCCTGAGAATGAAGTTTTGAATGTTGTACTTTGTAATCCTTAACTATTTGATCCTGACGAGGACTTTGTGAGTTGTGTTCATAGATAAATTAGAAAAATACATAACACTGGCAAATTACATAGATAATACTCGTGAGATTTCCTTCTGTGGTCTGTGGAGAGGATGAACCAATTATTTGATCCTTACCGATCTCTTGGTCTGCCTATCCTTGCTGGATTAGTCAGTCAGATGAGATTCTATCTTCGCCATCCTCAGTGTCTTTGTTGTACATAATCGTTTACTGAAAATTACTGAACTTGCAATATTTAATTTAACAAATAAAAATAAAAAAAGATTGAAAACACAGTAAAAATACAGAAAATAGCTGTTATATCAACAATTTAAGTTGTAAATCTTAAGTTACTAAAAAATATATATATATTTTAAGTTTGGTCTGACATATGTATTTTGGCAATTTACCGTCTTCAGAGTGGTTTTTCTGTTATATAGCCTTTATTTTTTAAATTATATTGCCAGTTAAAACTTTGATTACAAGAACTCACTGAAGAAGATAAAATGCTGAAATGCATCTGACAGACCAACCCAGTGAGTATAGGCAGACCAAGATGATATGAAAGGATCAAATTATAAATAACATATTAAATATAAATAATTCACAATAAATAATACAGGAAGCTTAGACAATTTTATTTTTTTCAAAAATTGTCTACTGATTTACATGAAATTTAATTCATAGTTGGAGAGCACTAAAATCTGTTTTGACGCCACTCACAGAAGTAAAAACTTTAGAAGGAATGTTTACAATTGTTAAGGCTACATCACAAAACATGGTTGAATATATAGATAATAATAATATATTACCTATTGAAGTATGTATGGAATTTTATTCATAACTCTGTGAGATTATTAATTGTATGTATCATTCTAGTGTAAGCAGCTTTCGTCCAGATACATTTTAAATGTCATTGCGAGCTGCGCGCTCGGATTAGAGTCAAATGTGTTCAAGGATGCCGATAACAAATTTAGCGAAATGTCGAGCAAGATATTTAAATATGATTCAAGATCAAACATTGCATTACTGCTCGCTTTGTACGCACCTAGTTTGGCCAAATTATTTACTTACAGGTTTGAAAAAGGCACTTGAATTTATCCGTTGGTGTATTTTGAAAACTCGATTTTCCAGGATTATTCCACCAAGAGTTTCGAATTACTTCATTTCCCTAATATCAGAGAAATGCAGGTATCGTGTGAAAGAGTCTGTTCATCGTAATGACTTTCTCCAGCATCTTATTAATATTAATAAAGAATCAGAAGCTAGTGGGGAAGGCACAGGTTCTTTAAGCATTTAATTTTTTTATTGTGGATTTTTTGTTTAAATTTGTCTATCTATAATATAAATATTAAACTTAAATAAAATTAAGTAATCAAATACATACATAATAATATAGTAGTTGTAGCAGTAGGCTAATTATCTCAAAGAGGACTTAAAATATTGATTACTGTTTTAAGGATAAGAAAAATATTTTTTGTTTTAAGTTTACCCAATTTTTTAATTGTTTTTTGAGAACTTTATTTTTATAGTGATTTTTATATTCCAGTCTATAATTACGATAAAATAACAGCACATTGCTTGACAATTCTTATTAATGGATACTTTATGACTGTGAGCCCTTTTTACTACTGTCTGTTTGAAATTGCATCAAAAGAAAATGTCCAAGCAGATTTGCGAAAAGAGCTAAAAACAAACAATATAAATGATCAATTTTCATTGGAAAGCCTTAACAAGCTGATTTATCTCGATATGGTGCTCAATGGTAATTTAATTGAGTATGTTACACATTTGAGAGAAATATCATTGAAATAATTTATTTTTAAGAAACATTACGACTCCATTCGCCCATCCAAGTAATAACAAGGCGTTGCACAAAAGATACTGTTTTGAACCATGACGGTCTCGATTATAAAATTAAAGCAGGGACTCCTGTCACAATACCGATATGTGCAATTCACACGGATCCTAAGCTTTATTTCAACCCGAATGATTTTATTCCAGAAAGGTTCAAAAAGGAAAACGAAGGATTTACCTACTTGCCATTTGGTAAAGGACCAAGAAAATGCCCAGGTTTGAATAATGAAACTTTTCAATATTTATTTTATTCATAAATAATCTGCATCTTGGTCTGTATAGAAACACAAATTCACTTTTTAAATGCCAAATTTTCAGCCTATTTTAAGGCCATTATCAGGGCAAAACAATCTTAAAGACATAATTAGTCAGTATAATATGACATAATTAGTTTTTAACAGATGTTTCAAATTTCTTTGAAGACCAACTCAGTCCCCACATTGTCAAGTAACCGTTGATATATTTAAGTTTGCCCTGATGATGCCCCAAAGTAGGTCGAAAGATTGGTAATAGATTAGATTATATAGGAGCTGGCCGTGTTACGACCTGCGCGCCTTTACCAGTATTGGTGTATTGTGTATCTCCAGTTTTTAATCTAGATCTCCTCGTTAAGCTTAAGGCTTTTTACCAAACCCAAATCTATTTCAAGGGCTCCCGTGTGTATCCTTCAGGGCCTGGCCTCTCCCAGGATTAGGAATCTGAAATTCTACATAGGCCTTCACACCGACAAAGGAGTGTTCCGCTGTTTCTACTTCTTCTTGGCAATAACTACACAGGCTTGTTTCTGCCACTCTGAGTCTATACATTTGACTCCGGAGTCTGAAGTGTCCAGTTAGCAGTCCAACCATTCTAGTCCTAACACGTCCTAGATTTAGTAGTTCCACTGTTAGTTTCTGCGATGGTCCTTTGATAAATGTTGCATGCCTCTGTCCCAGGGTACATTCCCATTGAACAGAGGATCCACGTTTCTGGCAGTTTGGTAAGCCACAAAAGAGTTCAGTACCAATAGGTGTCCTCATTTAGCTTTCCTTTGCCTATTTATCGGCCTCTTCGTTGCAGCTTTGCCCTGTGTGCCCTGGCACTCAGACAAGGATAATTTTGTTATTTTCCCCAATGTCTGACAGGGCTCTAATGTAGTCCCAAACGACTCTGGACTTTACTGAATGTCGATTAAGTCCACATATATAATCAGTAAAAGCAAACTTAGCAAAAGAGAAATCAATGATGTAACAAATAATAAAACTGGACAAGTGACAGTTAAATTTTACAGAACATGGTAAAAATTAACACCTTTCTCTAAAATGTATCTTGCTACTGAAAGATCTTGTCGATTAAGAAATTTACAGAGAAATTATTAATGTAAGCCGGTCCCCGTCTTGGTGATAAGTTTAAATTGTTAACATAAGAACAAAATAGGGTAAACGATGAAAAGGGACAAAGGTTGTCATGACATGTACTCTGAAGGGGCGACCACCCAGATGGGAACGACGTGACAAATCTGGCAAATGTAACTTGGAAATGGTTACCCAGGTAGACAGTTAGGTAAGAACGGTCGGAAATCCGTAGCCATGGGGGACATCGTAAATTGGGGATGCGTCAACCCTGTGCTAGACCACCGTCTTTGCCGGCCCACCCGCAGCGTGAGAACTCCCCTGACTTTTGAGTTTCCTTTCCACCCCTACTCCGGGAGAGACCTGGTATAAAAGGGATGACTGGAAAATCAAAAGTCAGTCAAGATACAAGACTCACCCCAGTCAGTCAAGACCAGGGACTCTCTCAGGAGTCACCTCGGAAGACTTGCCCGAGTCAAAATCAGAGACTCACCCCAGGCAGTCAAGACCAAGGACCGAGAGAGAAGCAGCCACCCTCCGTCTGGGATTCAACAAGAGGACTTTGCCAGCCAGAGCCAGCGAGGATCAGCTGTTGCGACCAATCGAGCCAAGTCAGAGGTCAAGAGAAGAGATGTTGTGGACACTGATCGTGGCGAGCATCGTTTGGGGTAAGTCCCTTTGTTGATAGACTCATCCCAGATTTAGAGTTGTGGGTGACTTGTAGATTAATTAATTAGCAATTAGGGTACTGTTAATATTAGGACTTGTGTACAATAAATGTTACTGAATATGCTCTCTGGTTTATTGAATTCTGGAACCTTACCTTCCCCTACACAAGAATAAGTACGCCGACTAATCTCTTGTCGCTTATAGAAAAGCAAGTGAATATCGAGAGATTATTCGGCCGCCGCACCGTCGTCCGCTTACATTAATACTACGAACATTATATCTGTTTATGATAGGTATTTTATGTAATAACAATCAATAAAATAGTCTTCTTTTCTTTGTTACTGTTGTCTTTTTGCTTTTTATGGACAAAAATTTTCTTCTTCAAAAAATGTATACACAAAATGCTAGAGTGGGCTATCTTTTTGTCCCGGAACTTAGATAAGATAAATGTGAGCTGTTTTATCTTAACAAGCTTTTACTATCAAAAGAGCCAGGATGTAGGAGGCTCTTTCCCAAATTATAAAGCCAAGTTGAAAAACAAAAATGATCAAATTAAAGGAATGAGATCAAATAAAATAGTTAATCCATGCTGACTGCAAAATAAACGACTTGTTTATATAAATATTTTGAGACCAATTTTGACGCATCAAACTTTGGGGTTTAACAGTACGTTCCAACCTCCAACGTATCTAATCCTTACAATTAAAAATCCTTCAAACCATCGTCAATGCTCCTTTCTACATATCTAATCTTACCATTGACAATGATCTAAATACCCAATATATCTTTGAAGTTTCACAAACAATTACCTGTCACATAAACCCCCTTCATCCTGCACACTTACAAATAATCCTCCATGATGGCTGAAGCGTAACTGGCCTCGCGACCTCCAAAGTGACAGTGAAAGAAAGTGAAACTGATTAACGCTAATATATAGTTGTGACTACTAACGAGTAATTCCTCTTTTTTATATATATTTTTGTGTAATTTTGTTTTGTCTTATGCTCTAAAACATTATCAAATTTACTTAAGCACAGGTTCAGTTTCACAAGTTAAGCATTTAATTGGCGCCGGTGTAAATAAATAAAGAAAAAAAAATATTTCACCTTGAGCATAAGCAGTTCTGCCATAGTCTTTTTAGGTGTTCGATTGCGCCTAGCACCATCTAAAATTAGTCTTGCAGCACCACTGCTGAAATTCAAGCAAACGATCAAAACATCCATTGCATTTCAGGTGCACAATTTGCCAAGCTCATCCTCAAAGTAGCACTGGTGTCGATCATGCTGAAATTTAGAATCGAGCTCAGAGATCCTTTCATGGAGCTAAAACAGGATCCGAAATGTTCACTCTTGAAATCAGCGAAAGGCGATGTGTTGCTCAAGTTCAAATTGGACCCTCTATAGCCACTATCAATTGCCAATAAAAAATGGACAAATTGGCGCCTACTTGTCGAGTCAGGTATTATTTTAGATGACTAGTTTTTGTGGTTTAAAATATCAAGATTTTAAATAATCAAGTAAAATATTTCAAATAATTTGTACTGCTTTTGTAAATAAAGTCTTAAAATTAAAGAAATAAGTGCTGTTGAAATTATAAGAATTTTGTTATCATACATTATGTACATTTTCATAAAAAAATTTTTTTAATTTTTAGGAGTATCCTAGAAAATACGGAACCAAATTTCCCAGGATGGTAAAGAATTTCATATTTTTTATAACATGAATCACTTTGAAATGGGCCATTTTTAGGTTATAGATTTTAATAAAGCACTAACATTTTTTATTATATGTTTATATTTTGAATTTCATTCCCTTTGGTGGTAGATTAATCTAATTATGTTTCAGTTCATTGATTCTTGCCAACAAAGTAACATTTAAATAATTAGCCTTACGATAGATGTGTCTTTGAGGAAGTCACGTACGAGTTTTTGGAAGGAGAGATTCTTCGGCGTATAAACTATATATTTGTTTCTTGTATGGCATGCTTGCAATTGTACTCTTCATATTGTACAAAATGATTTTTTTTATTGTAATATAACAATGTACTGCTCATGAGACCATGTTGGAGTTTAAAAAATTGATGACATATCTGACATTCACAAAGGTTTGAGTGTAATTTCTAAGGTCCCTTATATGTTAAAGCTAAACTGTTTTCTACTATTTTGGTAGAACTCAACTGCAGAAAGAATAGAAAAAAATTGTCATTTGTTATCAACAAATCGACTCGTGCTCGACGTTTTTGTTGGCAACATGAATTTGAAAACAGAAATCAGAGTTTACTAAATTGAAAACTGCCACCATTTTGACCTGGCAATTCTCACTCTGTCAGACCTCATCTTCAGGATTTTCATTACAAATGATTAACCCAGCACATAAGATGACAAAATGCTGAGACGTATCTGAGAGATCATCAGCGATGAAAGGCACTACAGAAAATCTGAACCATGGGAAGAAGAATATGATGTTGTTTACTCGAGGCTTCCCTAAAGAGGTGATGGTAATGGCCAAAACTTAGATCCATACTAGTATTTGAAGTCCATGGGGTTCAGTGATGTAGGTTTCGCTTTTCTCAATTGATTTCATCATTGTCGATGCTATTTCAGCGACATTCTTGATGAAAAAAAAAAAATCACAATGAAAGAAAGCATGCACTTGTTAAGCCTCACTGTCAAGAATTTAACCGAAGAAAAAATAGCGACAATTTTTATCTCACAAGAAGAGCAAAAGAATATGCCTTTCAGATTAGTATGCATGGGGGGAGATTGAAAGAAAATAACCTTATATTAAAAAGTTTAACATGTGAGAACCAAAATCCCGAATTAATGGTTAAAAATGTTATCAGAGAAATATTGGGCATCTCAGAAGAAATATTAATTAATTATGGTTTTTAGTTGAGATAAAAAAGTCAATGGCACGAGCAGGATTCGAACCCACGATCTTCGGCTTGATACGCCGCTGCTCTACCACTTGAGGTATCGTGACCTCGATCCACTTGGACACCAACCTCCCATCACAACCACACCTTTTGAATTTTCCCTCATTTTTGCCATTTTTCAAATGTTGTGTAATCAATTTGATTCTCGGCGACAAATGGCCACGGAGAGCCAAAAAGGCAAGAAAAGCAAGCCGAAGATCGTAGGTTCGAATCCCGCTCGTGCCATTGACTTTTTTATCTCAACTGAAAACCTTAATTAATTGTAAGATATCAATTGGTCAAGCGGACCATGAAACTAGTGAATATAAAAAAATAGTTTTTTTGCATTCTATAAATTCACTTTTCCACATGTTAAATGTATTTGTTAAATGTAAACAATGTGTGTAAATCCCAGGCCATGAAGATGATCTCAATAAAGATCGAAACGTTGGCACGATAAAGAAAATGCTTTTCTGCAACCTACATCACACCAGACTGCATCGCACGATTTCTGAATAATCATCGACAAATGGTCACTAATCAACACACATTGATATGACTACCTCCATTCTGAATTACTTCTGCACACAAAATTCCCATAAAAATTAGTAGTTAGTAATTAGTATTTGTAAATATGTGATAACAGACTACAACATATGTTGGTTTAGAATTAAAATGATTCTGCCAACAGTTGCAATTTAATTGAAAATTATCAGGACATTTAGAATTATCAGGATAATTAATGACATGTTTAACGTCTCAATACAACTTTATTACTTTTATTGTAACTAAATGTAGAAAGGAATTTTTTTTTTTTGCGTTATGATCCATGCATATTAGCCATGGTGACAATTCTTATATGTGTGTTCAAATTGAGGGGGGGGTTATCGTGAAAAAATGGCCAAAGGCAACGGTGGGAATCGAACCCACGACCGCGGCGTGAGAGTCTCTCATGCTAACCACTCGGCTACCGCGGTCCCCCTGTAGAAAGGAAACTTTTTGAAAAAAAACTGCAGTTCATATCAAACTTTCTTTTTCTTTTGTTCAGTTAAAAAATAATATTTAAAGATAAATTATCGAAATCATGATTATATTTAAATGTACAAAATATACAATTAATCTCCTAAAATTTTGTCAAGAATTGTATTAAAAATGTCAAATGTTTCGTCTTTTACCAACACGATATCAAAAAGATCCAGGTATTGAGATAAATAATCCTCGACCTACAAGGGGATAATTAACTTTGATCATGGTTCAATTAGTTATTTAAAATATGTAAAATATGTTCGTATATAAACTTACATGGTGACTAAGAAAGCCTATTTTCAATATAGTGCCATTTCCTTGTACTCCTTCAGCCATATTGGCATCGCCTAAAGAATCCCCCATAACTATAGCATTTTCTCTATGTGACAGTTCCTAAACATTAAAACGTTATTAGCTATTAGAAGATTTTATTTTATGTAAACAAATAGAAATAAAATACTTTAAAATAATCTGTATTTTCAATTGCATGTTGGTTTTTATTATAAATGTGCAACGTCTGCCCCTGAAATCCAATGACTTTTTCATTTTCGACTTTGAAAAAGTTAGATATAACCTTGACTTTGTCATAATCAAGATTGTACTCTTTTATAATCGCTGAAACCATATCGCCCAAGCCAGCGGAAAACACAAGAACTGGTATCTCATGTTTGTTCATTTTGTAAAACACAGTCTCTGTTCCTAGCCTTAAAAAATAAAAATAACCGTATAAATATATATATTTTGTTAAAATCTTATAAAGAGTATAAATAAATACCTGAGTTTAACTTTTGAGTCTTTTGCTGCATTATCAATATCTTTTATATTGTATGGTAAACCAATGAACCATTTTTCATTTGATTCCCACCACTCTATCATATGAGGGAGTTTTTCTTCTCTGGACATTTTGGGATTTTCTTCGATGACCCTAAACTTTTTGTATAAGGAATCGGTAGCATCGAGGAACTCTTTTGAAAGGGTCGGTATAAGTTTATATATTGCTGCAAGAAAATGTTCTAAAATTTTAGGCAAGGAAACTTGCCCAGAGGCTGGGCGATGACTTACCATAACTGCTGGGCGAGTTGTGTTTCGTTATCGTCCGATCGAAATCAGTAATGACCTGAAGTTTCTCAGGCCCCGAATCAACCAACAATTGAATTTTTTTCAAAACATCATTTTTATTTTTCATCTTTACATGTCCCTTGTTAAGTTCTGGAATCTAAAATATAAACACTTAATCCATTATATAAAACTATAAAATAAACTAGATATTTTTATACAATTGCAATTAGAACATTTTTGAATTTTTTTAAATCTCATTAATAATTTAATTATTTACCACTATTATTAAGCAATTATGTACAATAGCAGAATATACACAAAGAAGAAAATTAATAATGAAGTAATAGACAAAAGCAATAGCCATATAAATATGAAATGAAACATGAAATATAATGTTAGATTTAAAATGTTTATTGGAAAAAAAATCTACATTCAATTTTTCAAAATGTTATTTGGCAAATATTAAATTCAAATTCAACTGTTGTTAGTAGTTTGATCAGTTTGATCAAAGATGATTATTCCAGACTGCTAAGAAATGTGTATGAGAGTATTTTGAATCAACTACTGGCAAAAAGTGGATACCAACTTTGATTCTGTTGAGTTTTGATGTATCAAATAATTATTTATACAGAAATGTGAATTTCATATTTTATAATTGTAAATAACTAATACAACTGCATATTGTTGAACACTGAGGAAGATTAAATAAATACATAATCAAATAACCAGAATAGTCATTATTTTTTTAATCCAAGACCGCATTTCTGATACACCTCAATGTAAACCGATAATGGTAAATAGTGAAATCTATTACATAGCAGAAGAAGAAAACAATAATTTTATTCTCAGGCTTTGAACCCTCTTGGATATAAAAAAATACAAAATTTGGCATAATTCATGTCAAAATGAATATAAATTTAAATTTAATAGCATAAAAACAAAGAGAACACATGAAATTAAATAAGAGAAAGAAGAAATTTAACAGAAATTAAATGTACCGAAGCAACAGAAAATCAACTATCTTCAGCGTTAAATTGAAGGGACAAGAGGCAATAAAAAGACAGAAGGTGGGAAGGGCTGAGGCATGGCATATGTAGTGTGGGAGTGTGGGAGAGAATTCCAGGGGTTGTAAGTACGGATAAGGAAGGAGCGACTACAAAGCAGTGGATTTGTATGAGGGAGTGAAGAATGTATAGCCTGAGGGGGGTACAGCCATCTCAAACTACGATACATATTAGACATAAGAGATTTCATTGGAAAGCTAAATATGAGTCAAACATGATTCTTTGGTCTGTTAACAAGCTTGCTGGTGAGTCCAATATCGAAATGGGAAATCACAAGAGATCAGGAGTTTGCAGATGCTGATTGGGAAGAGTTACCACGCATGACAGAATTGGCAGAGGGCGAGAAGCAGTGTTGGGAGATTTGGGTTTCTAGGCTAGTTTGATCTAGGACGATCTCTCAGTTCTTGACAGATGGTACAAACAACAGCCTGGGATAATGATAATGAGAGAGTTATTTTTCAATCGCCCAGGAGCTGGTGTTTAGTTCTCTTGAATTTGTAAAGTAGAGATCTTAAGGTCATGAGGCAAAAAGACAGATAGATTTGGTAGTCATCCATGTGATAAGCATAATATTTTAGAACATTATGAGGAGAGAAGAGACTCGTCTGGGATGAGGACTATTTGCGAGCAGACTGAGAGGGAGGAATGAACAGTTCTGTGAAAAGAACCATCCTTTAACAAAAATGAAAAAATTGAAGAACACTGTATGCAAAAGCAAGGGAACTGAGTTTAGAATGAAAAAGAGAATGGTTTATTCATCAAAAGCTTTAAAAAAATTGATGTACCTGTAATAATGGTATCAAAACACCTGTTTTTTTATCTACTCTAATTAGAAACTTTCATTAACAGAGGGCTGAGTGATAGTTGTGTCCAATTTTTTTTTGCCATGATTGCTGATTATTTGATAAACATACTGTAAAGAGGTTTGACCCCTCAACCTCAACAGGTAGTTGCCATACAATATGACTAATTACAACCAGTTACTGAAAGCAAATGTTGAGTGATATTCCATGAAGAAAATTAAAATATACAGTGTTTAATTTTTATATGTGTATTCAAACTACATTTATCATTATATTCACTAATTTCGTGGTCCTCTTTACCAATTAATTTATTACAATTAATTAAGGTTTTTAGTTGAGATAAAAAAGTCAATGGCACGAGCGGGATTCGAACCCACAACCTTCTACCACTTGAGCTATCGTGACCTCGATCCACTCAGACACCAACTTTCCATCTCAACCCCACCTTTTAAGTTTTCCCTCCTTTTTTGCCATTTTTCATTATATTAATATTACAACATACTCATTTTAATGAACTAAATTATTAAATTCATGAATTTTAATAACAATTACAATTAAATTAGGATAGTTTGAAAGAAAATTCACCAAAACAGGAAAATCATTTAGTATAAAATAAAATTTAACTATTAATTTATTGCCTAGTTTTGCTGTTAATAATACAAACTACCTCCTCTAGTCTCACAGAAAGCCTTGTCTCCTCGGCAGCAAGTAAATAAAAGCGACTGGATTTTATCTTGTGAAACAAAATCCCATTCTTCAACAAGTGCGGTTTTAAACAGTTCAACAATTGTTGGAGGTGATGAATGATGTCTAAACCATCTCTTTATGTACCATAAGTTTTCTGTGGGTTTCATGTTAGGAGAATGTGCTGGTCAATTCACTGTGGTAGTCCCAACATCCTCCATGTAATGGGTGACAACTTAAGCTCCATGCAGTAGAGCACTATTGTAAGTTGTCCCCAATAAATGGAGTGAACGGGATCACAGTTTGAGTTTAACCAAAATTTCCAAATAAGCTTAAGTACCAAAAAGGAATGGGAAAGAAAAATACACCTCCTTTAAGAATGGGAACATCACTGGTACACAGATGGATCTAGAACACAGAAGGAATAGGGGTATTCGGTCCTGGACTAAATATTCAGAACCCGTGGGAAAATACACCAGTACCTTCCATGCTGAGGTCCATGCAATCAATAGATGTACCCAATTCAATCTGAATAAAGGTACAAAAACAAGAATGTAGCTATCATGCCAGATAGCCAAACAGCCACCAAAGCGCTGAATTCATACACCATTAGCTCAAAGATGCTGCTGAATTGCAAAACCAAATTAAACAAATTAGGTATTTAAAACAAAGTCAGCCTCTGCTTAATCTCTGGGCGTGTGGGAGTAGAAGACAACAAGAAAGTGGATGCCCTTGCTATACCGCTAATAGGTCCCGACCCCTTCTGTGGCTATCCATAGGCACCTTAGACAGAAGGATAAAAAGAAGGGAACAGTGGAACTCACTCATTGGGCACAAACAATCCAAGAACCTTCTAACGAACTTTGGAAGAAAAGAGGTGACAGAATGCATTAAAGTAGCGAAAATCAACAAATCCTAACAGGACACTGCAAACTAAATGGACATCTAAAGGACATTGGCATAACCCAACACGACACAGATTCTGCAAAAAAAGCAGAGGAGACACCAACACACCTACTAGCTACACTTGCCCGCATAAGGAAGTTTTTTGACACTTTACAACATAACTGTAGGCAAAATTCAACCACTGAAACCGGGCCTACTTATCAAGTTCCTTGATGAAATAGGACTTATACTTTAAGCACAGAATGGGGGATACACCAGCTCTTAAAAGGCGCAGTATATCGTACACCCAGACTAATACATTTATCAATCTAATACTGGTTTTCACTAATAAATGGCCAAAATAGGACCACAGCTTCCGGAACTTCTTCAATGTACCTTAGTGCAGTCAATGATCAATTATGTATGCTAATCAGTTTGATATAGGCATGGACATTGATTCCACCCCATACCATACCTGAAAAGGCTGTGGCTCTTGCGTGGCACATGAAACAAAGTTCAAGTCATCTGATTGCCAAACTAAACCGGCATTCATCTGTGAAGAGAACAGCCTTCAACCATATTAAGTGTCCAAGCAAGATTCTGATTTTTGAAAGTTGACTTTCTACTCAATACCTCTCCAGCAGAAGAGAACCTAATACGGGAAGTATAGATTTTCTCACACCTTCTGATGACTGTTTTAGAGCTCACCCTTACATTATGGACCGTTTGGAGTTGACTACCTATCAAGGAAGTGGAGTAAGAGCAATAAAACGATCGTCTCTAGCCATCGTACACCATGGTTATCTCTAAGATCAAGACACCTGGTGGCCCTAAGCTATAATAGACCATCGTGGATGGTAGAGCGAAGCACACCCGAGGCTGGGACAATATATCAGACGCTACGTCCGTCTTTGGTCAAAGTATCCACCCGGGTGAGATCTTCTTGAATTAAAACCACACTATTAAGAAAAAATAACTATTATTTACTCAAATTTATTGTTTCATCATTAAAAAACCAACAATTCACAAGTTGCTCTGGAAAGTATGAAATTGAACTGATTTTGTTTATTTGTAATCTAAAGTGTGTTAAAGTATTAGTATCACTTTATAAAGGTCAACTATAAGTTATTATTGTTGTAATAACGTTTTAAATTAACTATAAAAATGGAAAATTAGCAAATAAATGCAAGTCATATTTTTTCCCCTCTTATTCTTTCAGTGTATTTGCGCTGAGTGTACTCTTAAGTGCCTCTCAAACTTCTCGATATTGTTATTTTTATTTTTCAAACTTAATTGCTGCGAAAATGAAGAGAATTCGGACGATTTTGTGCAGAATTTATTCAGATTGCCTGAAATATGTGAAACAGCATATCTTTGCGTGATACTCACCAACAGATTTGCCATGGCTGAGTGAGATCGATTTTAACAACCGTCCCACCGTTGTTTAATTATTATTATTATGTTTAATTGATAGTTAATAACAAAGTAAATAATTAAAAAGGTTCTCCACTTGTTTACCGGCTGCCATGTGCTGAGCTGGGGAAATCGTTTGCCATTGCCCTCTTATCTAATTGCCACTGAGGTCAATGTGTAATGTGTTGGTGAGTCTCAACATTTTGACAAAACTGAGAAAAAAAATACGAGTAAAATCTGTTTTATTTATCACTATTACTTTAATTTACTCAACAAAAATATACTAAAAGTTTTAGAATTGCACTTTTGGCTAAATTTTTTTCTCAATTTTGCAACATTAATACAGTGGAAACTACTTAACTAATTAAATATTAAAATTTATTTAACTAATAAAAAACATTAACTAATTATCCACAACGATATAATTACTATCAGCCTTTAAAATTAACAGTTTTTAATAAAAAAATATACACACTTCATTAAGACTTAGTAATTATACTGAGAGACAAAAAGCCAACTTTAATATTTTTCAATTAACTCCTCCATTGATTCTCTTTCAACAATATTTTGGCCATTTTAAAAGTTTACAGTAAATAAAACACAGATAAAATCTCCTACTTGAGTTTACATTTGGAGTTTGTAAATAAATCTTTAAATAGTCAATCTCTTCGTTGTTGGTTTTTTCTATATAGCTTTTTTCTAACATTCTGGTGAATTGAATTTTTGAAGATGTACCATATTTGAGTTTCAAATTTGTTGTACTATGTAATCAACATTCTATCGCTGTTGACATCAAGCAACCACTGCAAAAGAAATGTTGTCAGTTTATGCACTGTAATGTTGCCACTGGTCCAGAACTTCTGGCAAGGCACAGAACAGCTCGATTGTTTCGCAAGAAATCGCATCAATCGGTCGGAACAAGATTGGACTAAAATGTCATTTTTGGATGAGTCAAGATGTTGTTTGAGGTATTCTGGCGGCCGAGAGAGGATTTGGTGAAGAATAGGAGAGCATATATCCTTGCAATATTTTCACTCTGGACAAGCTATGGAGGTGGTGATGTTATGGTTTAGGCAGGCATTTCTATGTCAGATTGCACAAGCTTGATTTTCATGGAGCATTCCCTAAACTAACTTGTCCTAAAAACCTTGAAGAACATTACAGTTAAATGTTTGAGCAAATACCTTGTTAATTTAAAAAAACTTACACTCAATTGTTTCATTTGTTAATAAATGTTGATCAAAATGTTTAAGATGTTAGATGTACCAATGTTACATAAATATTCTCTGTAGATACTTCTACAGCAATTTTTCAAATCAAATATCAAGGTCAGTTCTCTGTATATTTGGTCATAAAAAGCACCTTGATAAATCAGTAACTTACAATCCGAGCATCCATACCGATGTGACGATACAATAAAATAATAAGTGGTAAAAAAAAACTCACTTTAACATCTGTAAAAATTGCAAATGCCATTCTTATATGCAGAGACTGATAAAAAAGAGTAAAGAAATAAAGAAGGTAAACAGCATGACTTAATGAAGGGAAAGGCAATTTTTCATGTTGATTTATTGTTGAATAGAAATGCTAGTTTTAGAAATTTTCCCTTAAAACACTACTTCTTTTAAATACTGGAAATAATCAAACTACTATATGAACTTTATGAACTTACTCAATATACTAATAATATAAAATTAATTAAACGATAAAATAAAAATAAAATCCATAAAAATTGTAGGTCTTGGGTTTTCTTGGTCAGAAAGTGCATACAAAAAGAGTGCATTAAGTAGACACAGTTTTAACATAAATAGGTAAGTTTATATAAGGCAGTAAATAGCTGATTAAAAAGAATTCTAAATATCAACTTTCTATAATTTAACAGCTTACAACAACAAGCATCATCATCAAAATAAGTTAATAACCAATAAACTTCAACAAATAATTTAAAACAATAAATAAGTTCACAGACAATTTCCAAAATCTGTTATTAAAGCAATAATTATGTAAATTAGTTATCAATAAATATTTAATTAAAAACATCAATGCAAGTATTAAAACAATATCATCAAAATAAGTTGACAATATTGAAATTAAAATTCCGTCTCAATTTACTGAAATAATAGGTAGCGTTTATTTTCCTTAATGAGAATAAGATGCCAACATTTCAAAAGGAAGGTGTGATTTTTAAATATCCTTTGCTAATTTAAGCCTCTTGCTGATACAATTTTCTCAATCAGTGCATTAAACAAGTCCATCGTTTGATCGTCGAGTAGAACTATGTCAAACTTTTCCAAATATTGAGGCAGGTACTCATCAATCTGCAATAATAAAATAATTATAAATGTAGATTTTGTTGTTATTTTGAATAATTTCTAGCCTGGGTTTTCATACTAACATGAGAGCTTAGAAATCCTATTTTAAGGATGTATCCATTTCCTTGCAACCCATCGCTCATATTCGCATCTCCTAAAGAATCGCCCATCACGATTGCATTAATTCGATCTTTTAAGTCCTAAAACACATTTCACTTTATTATTACTTTTGTATAATCTGCAAGATGCTTATTTAAACGTTAAAAAAAGTACCTGAAAATATGTTGTATATTCAATGGCGTGTTGGTTTTTGTTGAAAACATGTATCAATCCACCCTGTAAACCAACAATTTTCTCATTTTCAACTTGGAAAAAGTTGGATATAACTTTCACATTATCAAAAGACAAATTGTACTCATTCAGTATTGTCGAAACAACGTTCCCTAGACCTGCAGAGAAAACAAGAACTGGTATTTTGGATTTGTTCAGGTTTTTGAATGCCAAATCAGTGCCTGTCCTAAACAGTAAAGGGAAGCAATAATAGAAAAAAGATCAAGAAACCAAAATAAGAAAATCGATTTTTTTGTGAAAACAATTTTGAAACAAAGGGTTTTTATTTAAGGGTGTTGCCAATTGCTTTCTTTACCTGAGAACAATCTTGGAATCTCTCACTGCTTGGTTAATATCACCCTGGTTAAATGGCAAACCGATAAACAATTGGAAACTCAATCTCCACCAGTCTTCCATAAACGGTAATTTATCTTCTAATGACATCTGAGGATTCTCTTCTATTGCCCTGTATTTGGTATAGAGTTGTTCTGTGCCTGTTATAAATTCTCTCGGTAGTGTTGGAATTAACTTGTAAATATCTGAAATATTGTTAATATGGTTAAACACGAAAAAAACTGTTTTTCTTAAAAAAATTATTTGAGCATATATGCTTTTTTCTCCTGGTGACAACACTAACAGCCAGCACAGCACTCATGTCGTGCTCACAGGAAGACCTGTCAACTCTGGCACTCAGTATGAGGGATAAGGGGCAGGCAGGGCATGAAGCCATTTTTGTTAAAGGCGACTTGGCAGGTTCTCAGGATAGAAAAGTGTAGAAAAGGCTAGGGCAGTAGGGCTAGAATGGATCAAAAGCTGGATGAAGAATTTTTGGAATTTGGGACTGGATCAGTTCACAAAAAGAATTTTGAGGTTTGGTTGGTGAGGTTAATGATGTAGTAAGGCAGTAGATATTGGATGGCTTCATGAACCCCTGCAGTTCTACTCAGTATATCCTGAGTGGTCGCAGTAATGTCTAATATAGAGTTAGCTGAGTTTTGATGGTCAAAACAGCTTTCTGTACTAGTCTTCTGTCTTATTTCTAGTTATCTAAGTCTTCTGTTAAATTGTTGTTACATAAGTCTTGTGTGAAGATTCCACATCTGTCACCATATCTGCTATCTTGGTATAGTCTCTGGTAGTAAGTATCTTGCTTGTGTAAGTAGAAATCTCCTTGATGATTAGTTGAGGCCAAGACTGTTTTTTCAATGTAAATATATGCTATGTATATTTTTCCTCAGCCAGTTTTGTCCTCAACTATTAACACCAGTCTTTGATAAACTCAAGCAGTTCTCAGATATTGGGGGTTGGGTAAGATATGGGTTATAGATAGAATTGCAGTGTTATGTGCATAAGTGGTAATTTTTGTGTTGGGGTTTGTAAGAAAGTCAGCAGTAGAAATACTGGATTAGACCAAGATGCTCCATTGTAGGATGCTGACGTGCATTGGTCTGATATTTGAGGATTCATTATTCGCTCTGAAGTCAGTCAAATAGGATTCCAGGATAAGGTAAAATAATGAAAAAATACTCACTATTACTGGTCATTGACAACACTCCATTGTGATGATGTTTACTCAACGTCCGGTCAAAATCAGTAATTATTTGGAGCTTTTCAACCCCACCATTTATTATATTTTGTATTTTTTCTATCACAAGATTTTTGTCTTTCATCTTGACATGACTAGCAGTCAATTCTGGCATCTAGGAAACAAAGAAGGTATTACTGTCCAGTAATTTGCATTAATAAAAATATCAGAGAGTTATAAAACTTGAATAGTATTCACTAATCAATTCCTATATTTTAGTATAAAATTATTATATTTTTAATGTGAAAAAAATAGAGTAATCTCTCTGTTATTTTTTAATTTAATTGACATAATTGCATTTTAACTTGGCTATGATTTTGGGCTAGATTCACACATTGTTTTTGTGTGAACATTATTGTGTCATCTATTTTGCATTACCAGGTAATGCAGTGGGTATGGCTTTGGTTACATGATTTGACGTCATTCCATGGATTGGAGAAAATACACAATATTTTATTCATGACTTTTTGACTTCAGGCATTATTATAATGCATGTTAATTATATAGGTCTATAATGTTTTGTTAATGTTGCTCATTTTGCCATATCCTACTTAAGAACAAAATCCATAATGAAACTTTATTTATTTCTTCTGATAAACCTCTTTTTAAAATCTTGGCTATAAATAAATTTAAACCCAGTACCAAGACAGTCAGATTTTTCATAGAGTTCTGAGCTCAAAACGTCAAACCTCCATCTCAATATTTTTTTCTACTGTTTTATCTTTTATACTGTTGTCATCGGGGATAAGACAAAACCCTCTTATCAGAAACCAAGATATTATCTCATGCAGATAGTTTGATATGATATCTAGTGAAATTTTATCGATTGGTTTTACACTTTGTCTTCACTTCTAGACAGATGGCAGTTCTCTTCAAATGCTACCATCAGACTTTTGAGTTATTTATATATCCATTTTGATACAAATTGTGTCAAAGTTTGTACTTTTTTCAAGAAGGTGCAAAGCCCCAGAATAAAATTTATTTTCTTCCCTACAATTTAATACCGAGGATGGTTAATTTTCTGTTAATTTTTCCATTCTTATTTAGTATGTTTCATTTAGTTTTATGGTATTACATTTAAATACTTCTTTATACATTTGACATGAATTGTGTCAAAGTTTATACATTTTTTTGTTAATCAAGAAGGCTAAAAGCCCCAGAATAAAATTTTTTCTTCCCTACAATTTAACACTGAGGATGGTTAATTTTGTGTTAATTTTTTCCCTTGTTATTTTAGTATGTTTCATTTAGTTTTATGGTATTACATTTAAATACTTCTTTATATTGGGTTGTCCGGAAAATAATGCAGGATTTTGGTATTAAACAAAAAAAAAGAAACTAGTTACTTTAAAGCAATGTTCTTTAATCAAAATAATTTCCCATACTCTCAATACATTTCTCCCAACGTGTTGGTAACTTATTAATTCCGTCTGAGTAGAATTCAGAATTTTTAGAATTGATAAAGTCAATAAATGCATTTTCCAGTTCCGTTTGATTTTTGAATATTATGTGTTGTAAGTAGTGGTCCAGGTGTCTAAAAAAATGGTAGTCAGTAGGCGAGAGGTCCGGAGAGTAGGGTGGGTGAGGCAAAGTTTCATAGCCAAGCTCCAATAATTTTTGTGACGTTACACGTGACACATGTGGTCGAGCGTTGTCATGCAACAAAATGGGCCCTTTCCGATTGACCAAAGAGGGCTTCATTACTGCCAATTTCTGATGCATGGTATTAATTTGGTTACAGTATGATTCAGCATTGATGGTTTCGCCAGGATTTAAGAAGCTGTAGTGTATTAAACCAAATGAAGCCCACCATACCGTAACCATTACCTTTTTTTGATGAGTTGGGGGCTTTGGAAAATGTATTGGAGCTTCTCCTTTGTCGAGCCACTGTCCAGAACGTCTAGTGTTATCGTAGAGAATCCACTTTTCGTCACATGTAACAATTCTGGCCAGAAATGGGTCATTTTTGTTTCGACAAAGAAGTGATGCACAAACATCAAAGCGCTGATTTTTTTGGCGATCGTTTAATGAGTGTGGAACCCAATTTTCGAGTTTTTTCACTTTTCCAATCGCCTTGAGGTGGTCAGCGACGGTCGTTTTACTGACTTTGAGTTGCTCTGCAAGTTCTCGAACAGTTGTTTTGGGGTTTTCTTCCACCACTGATCGCAGAACATCATCATTAAGAGAGGAAGGCCTTCCACGACCTTCTTCATCTTCAAGGCTGAAATCTCCCTCCCGAAATTTTTTAAACCACCTTTGCACAGTGCACTCATTAACACAACCCTCGCCCCAGACTTGGTTAATGTTTCTAGCCGTTTGGGCTCCGCTTCGGCCGAGTTTAAACTCGTAAAAGAAAATCGTACGAAATTCTCGCTTTGACATTATAAGGATGACTGAATTATTTCCAAGTAGCGGAATGCTACAGAGGTAAACAAACAATATCATTTGGAAGAGGATTAATAAGTGTTGACATTCATACAAATGAGTAATCCTGTAAACGTAAACAGAATATTTTATATAGATTTTTTTTAATGAAAACTTAAAATCCTGCATTATTTTCCGGACAACCCGATACATCCATTTTGACACGAATTGTGCCAAAGTTTGTGCTTTTTTGTTATTGAAGAAGACCCAAAGTCAAATTGTACCAAATTTATTTTCTCCTTGTTTTATATACCATCAATAGGGCTTTAGTGCTTAGTACCAAATTCACTTTTGCAATCCCGCTCAGTTGGTAGAATATTTTATGAGTTCTTTCTCTTATTTTGATTGTGTGGTGGGGTTTAACTTTTCACCTATTTCTACTCTGAGATTTTTCACCAAAATAGTCAGCTGGGTACATACATATACATATTTGTAATAGATACAAATACATCTATACTTACTACACTTTGGGTGGAGTAGTAAAGAGACCTTTTGGCATGTAGATGTATTTGATGGGATGAATATACTGTGCCTTTTAAGAGCTATTGTATTCCCCGTTCTGTGCCTACAGCACACTGGTGCAGACCTTTTAGGATTAAAAAATGACAGTTTTCATTAATTATACAGCAGAATCTTGTTAACTGCAGAGATTCTTGGTTTGTATCTTTTAAACGCAGATAGTAGGAAAGACTTCGAATTTCAGGCTTAGAAACAATTTCTTCTATCTGCATACCAATCAGACATTTTCTGTATCGTGTGTGCCTATTGTCAATGTTATGTATAAATTTATGTACACATATTTCAAGAGTTCCCACTCTCCTTTAGAGCTCAACAAAGGGGGGGGGAAGGAAACTGCAGAAGAGTGAAAGCGCAGATAACAAGAGTCTATTGTATTCGTAAAACCGGATTTGTCTGATGATGATACAAAATTATTAAGGGCTGCCATTTTGTAAAATCAGTGAAAATTGAGATTTGAAATGTTAAAATATATGTTACACCTTTTATAAAAGACTATTGAAATAATTAACAATGTCAATTAAGACCTCTAAACATATATGGATTAATATAATAGTTAAAGTAGTTATCACTTCGCTGACAGCTTCCCGAGGCCAATTTGTGATTACTGAGATTCAAATCCTGATTACATAACATTTGAAAAAATACCAAAAAATGGAAAATTCAAAAGGTTTTAGATTGAGATGAGGAGTTGGTGACAGAGTGGACCAAAGTCATGGTAGCTCAAGGTCGTGGGTTCGAATTCTGCTCGTGAAACTAGCCTTTTCAACTCAACCAAGACCTTAGATAAAAAGAATAATCAATTGAAATAATTAAACTGGTCGCTGAACATGTATAGGTTAAAATATATACTAAATTGGAGGTGGGCTTAAAAATGGTTGAACATAATCAAATGTGATATAGACAGTGTCATCACACGAAAAGCTTTACCATATGCTTCAGCCTTGATCAACCTTTATTACGAAATATATAAAAAAATAAATACATTTTACATGTGTTGCCAGATATAACAATCAGCTTGTGCAATTTTCGTTTTTAGGGCGTATTCACTTCGTTGTTATACATTTGCTAAAACTTATTATTTTTTCAATTAGTCGTTACCAATTAGAAGAATGATAAGTAAAGGCATGGGTCGACTTTTAATTTTCAATTTAATTATAAACAAATCGACTTACAAATGAATCCATTAGCAGGAGACGAGCAGTCGGTCAGTGCAGCAGGGTTGGAAGCTCCCAGGCTAAAGTCATCATCACAATCGAAGAGTATAAAAACGATGAGTTTCAACTTGGATGATACAAAGATGCAGGTTATTTACTTTATCAGCCCGTTTGACAGTTCTTATCATCAAAGAGTCTCTTATCTTTAATGGCAATTATTTTACAATAGGCGACTATCTAAGCGATAATTTATCTTCGAGCCAATAAAGGTCATTTATATGATTAATATGTGACTTCTTATGTGTTTTCCCTCAGACACATTGGGAAAATCATGGGGATATAACGACCACTTTTTTTACTCTCAAATATTCTGGATCTTGATATGGTCTGGATAGACAAAAATATTCAATTATCCCCTCTCTTAAAAATGTTGGTATCGAAAATCACTACCCAAGAAAAAAAATTTGGCTTTACTAGTCTTAATTGTTTAAAGTGTCAGATGTATCGACCATTTTTACTCTCCAATAATCTGAATCTTGATATGGTCTGGATGGAAAAATGCAATTATCTGCCGATCTTTCAAATAATTTTAAGGTCACCTTTGGGAGCAAAACTATCTTAAAGATGTCTACATACCAGCCAAATTGGGAAAATCGCAATTATCACATTTTTCACTCCCATTCCTTAAACTACACTTAGACACTGTTCCTTCTCTTAAAAATGTTGGTATCAAAAATCACTGCTCAAGAAAAAAAAAATTGGCTTTACTAGACTTAATTGTTTAAAGTTTTATATGAATCGACCACTTTTTTATTCTCGAATAATCTGGATCTTGGTTTGGTCTGGATGGAAATTCAAATATCTGTGAAGCTTTCGACCAATTTTAAGGACATCATCAGGGCAAAATAATCTGAAAGATGTCTACAAATGACAAAATTAAGTTTTTAATATCTTCCATCGTTGTACTCTTTGATGAAGTGGAATGCGATCAATTTTTTTTGCGTGTGTGTGTTTCTTTCCACTTTGTTATAAAGTTTTTAATAGATGTTTCAAATTTCTTGGAAATTCAGTCCCAACATTTCCAACGACTGAATCTGAATTGCTAGGACTAGAAGAGTGTTACAGCCCTTCTTTCTAAATTTTGTGATGAATTGGGACTCACCAGGTTGCTATAGGTTCAGAATGGCGATTCAAAAGCTCCCAAAGGGCTCTGAGGGCAACTCTTTCCCCTTTTGGCACTATTCCAAATCTGTAAATTTTAATTCAAACTTAAAGGTGATTGACTGACTACTATTCATATTTGCTGAAATTCAATTCACAGGACCACATCCCTCATCCCACCAAATATAATCTTAATCCAAAACACAAGCAATTGCTGTCTAACAGTTTTTCTGATTCTGGAAAGAACTAATTATCACTTGAACTAATGCTCAACTGATTTAACCAAATTAATTCTATCAGTAGAAAGATGCATTTTACTATGTTTACGCTGAAATCAATTAGTTAGGCACTTTGCTTTGCCTGATGTTACTTGTTAAATTTCATTTTTTACTTATGGATGCCCTTTATGAATTCAAATTTAAATGTGGCATTGTTTCCATTTGCAACCTGAATTGTTACAATTTTTTTGGGCCACATAAAACCACAAAAAAGCTCAAAGAAGGGGGAGGCAAACCAAAGCAAGTAGCCCGGCAAACAACCCTAGGGCAAGCAGCCAGATTCTCCATTCCATCATTGTTCTATTTTAAAGATCAGTGTGTTACAATATTCAATATTTTATTGTATTGACGTTATCTTTATTGGCCTATATGTTACAACTGGTATTGATCTATTAGACATTTTATCTCTGCGTTTTGAGGTCGTTTAAACTTATTTTTAAATTTGCACTTGCTATTGTTAGTGACTGAATTTACTTGCAAGTTTAATTGTTGTAAGACTCATTGTGTACTTATTATAAGAAAAAATTTCACAAGTGGCATGTAGAAAATCTGAACCTAATCTTTCTCCTGTAAGTCAAATTATACGATAAATTTTAACATGGCATCCTTTTAAACTTCAGAATCGAAGTTCTGGTTTTTATCAATTTCTCAGGTCGTTAAAGGCTATCATTTGTAAATAATTGTTTAGTTGAATTCAAAACTTTCTAACTTTTATTGTCACCATTGCCAAAGTACTTATAATTATTTCAATTAATTAATTTTTATGTAAAAACTCGGTCACCAATTCCTCAACTCAACCAAGTGGATTGAAGTCAAATGGTAGAGCAGCGGCGAATTTAGCCGAATGTCGTGAGTTCAAATCCCGCTCGTGGCACTAACTTCCAATTTAACCAACACCTTACATAATTAATTGAAAGAAGTTATTTGGTTAATCGGACCACAAAATGTGAATTATTATTGTTGTTGCGCCCTTAATATGGTTGTTATTTATTTCACGTGAACATGTTTCTGGTTAGCAATTCTGCTTGAAAAATGATTTAGGTGGAGTAGATATATATTTATTAATAATTATTATATATTATTTAATATATTTATTAAATTAAATAAACTTAAGTATTGTCTAATATTTAAATATATAAAATTAAATATTGTTATTGTAATAGCCATTAAATAAATCTCAAGCTTCAACGAATCTCATGGTGTAAATAGATGCTTAATAAATTCACAAACTAAAAAGAAGTTATTTGATCAATCGGACCACAAAATATAATGGACTCATAATTGTATTGAAAGAAAAACATACAATTTTATTAAAGACACTTCCTGATGTGATATTTTTTTAAAGTAGAAAATAAAATATCCCCCCTACTTCCAAAAAGAGAGCTTTTCTGTATTCCACTATTATGAATAGTAGAGAAGTAAAATGAGAAGAGGAGAATTCTCTATAGATAATTTAATTTTAAGCAACTTAAATAAATCTCAAAGCTTCATTGTGGCTAATAACGTGGTTGGTTATTCAATTAGTGGGTGGGTTGGGCGATCTAGTGGCTGCCCTATGGGTGTGGCAGTCTTATCCAGAATGCTGCAAGGGGTGGGTTTCTAGGTGCTCTGGGTGCTTTGAGCTGCAGATAGTGGGAGGGACATGGACTTTTCCATAGCATTTTAAATTATGTAAATGATTTTTATACGTTTCTGATGTTCATTGTAAGAAAGAGGGATACATATCCTTAAAAATAAAGCGCCTTGGCGGCGTTGTGGGTATGGCTGCTGGCCACTGAACGAGTGGGTTTTGGGCTGCCTCGTGTGTTTTTCCCTTAAAATATATGGCACATGTGACGTTCTCAAAGGAAAAAATAAATAAAAAATAATTTAAAAAAAAATTTCCAGCTTATATCACTACTGTCGACTTTCTAATATCTATCTAGTAAAGGATTAAAAAAAAAAATGCAAATTGTACATTAAAGTGATAAAACTGTCAACTCAATGCCCAATAATATATCTGGTGGATATTCTAATTATTATAGATTATGTAATATTGTAAATTAATGGTCAGTCTGGAATTAGAACAATTGAGTTGAGTTTATCAGCATTCAAACAAATTAAAAAAAAAAAAAAATTGGTTGTTATGATGACCATGTGTGGAGGATTGAAATGGTTTCATTAAAATTTTCCATTTCATATGTTTCCTGAGTAGAGTTCAGTTTTTGTTAGTTTTAATTTTTTTAGTAGTTTAAAAAGTTAAACCAGGCTTTGAAAATGGATATGAAAAGTGCAGTTTCTTTCCAGGTAGAGTATAAACCAGTAGATTCAATTAAAATCATTTCTGTATTAGATAAAATATTTATTTTTGGAGAATCTGGGAAATAGTTAAATTTAGTAAAGTACCAAACTACTCCCTCATTCCATGACAAATATTTAAAAAAAATTGTCAAATTGAATTTGTTTTATTGAGCTTTTTATTGAAACTTGACAAATGTGTTTCAAGCCTTCCAACAGCAATATGACGACTGCTTCTATGAGATCTGAAACACTCGCTAGCTCAGGTAAATCCAGCCTCCAAGGATCAGATTGGAAGGATAAGAAGAAAAGAAAGTACACTAATTGCACGATGCAACTACTAAAACAATATCAGAGAGAAGATATAGAAAAAGCTTTCAGAATTTTGGACAACAGCAACAACGGAAAAATCGGGATTAGGGATATAAAGGTATGTATTACCTAAAATGTACAATTTACATGTATTAAAAGGGATTTTTTATAGACGTTGATAAGAGCTTGCGGTTTCGAACCTAGCAATGATGAACTAAGAAATATCAACATGGAGTATGATCCTCAAAATGAAGGTTTTTAAATATCTTAAAAAAATATATAAACATACATTTAAAGTAAAGACTAATGATCAAAATACCTAATGTTACAGGTTATTTTTCGCTTGGAGATTTTATTGCCATATTTCTAGCGAAACTTGAGCAAAAAGACCAGCGCGAAGAGATGATAAGAGCATTTAAATTTTTTGATCGCGATCAAAAAGGTGGAATAACGTTCGATGATTTGAAAAACTGCGCTTTTGAGATTGGAGAAAATTTACACGATGAGGAAATTCAAGTTGGAATAGTGAACATACAACAAAGCAAGTCAATATGAATTTATTTGTTTCCGTTTTTTTCAGGAGATGATGAATGAAGCAAATTTGAAACGAGATGGCCTGGTGACACTACGGGAATTTTTAAAGTTAATGAATCGACAAGAAGATGAGTTTTAAACAGAAGGAAATAGGTTATAGTTAAATAAAATACCTTTTTCTTTTTATGGTTGTATTTTTAAAAGACTCGATCATCAATTCTGAATTGTTAAAAAATATTTTTTAATATAACACAATTTATCTAAACTAATTATAATGTTTTTATCCACCATAATGACAAAAATACTAAAAATCTTTTATTTTAGGGTGTTAATTAATATGTATTAACTTATATTATTAAACATAATATATTATACAAATTGCATATATTATTAAGCTAAAATTAATATATTAAAGCTTAGCACCATCCAAACATCTTTAATATCACAATACAATAATTTTAACAAAATATATCAAAATAACTAATATATAATAAACTTACAAACTTAACAAGAAATAAAATACATAATACATTAATATAATATTATAGTGATAGAGAAAGCGGCTGCAAGCTTGGGTGAGTCTTCACTTCACTTCCTTAGCTTTTAACTCCCTTTATCCTTTGCTATTGATCTGTAAAATATGATTTATTCATAAGTTGAAATTTGTTCTTGACAACTGATGGTAAATTAAATTAAAAAAAAAATCAAAAAGAATATAATATGCAAAAAACAGTTTTCAAAATGATATATATTATGTGTTCTTTTTTTACAAGATTTATTTATTGCAGAAATGATTCTATTAAAAAATAAAACTATGAAAAGCATAATTTAAATTTTATAGTCCATTCCAATCATCTCGGTCTGTATTCTTGCTTTCTGGAATTTCTGACCGATGACTGAAGATGGTTAATAGTAATTAATATTGCAATCATTGCAATTAAGTTTGTATACTTTTTTTTTTTTGACAAGTCAACTTTGTCTTTAGATTTTGAGAGGATGTTTCTAAGTGAACAATCTAAAAACTACTCTAAAGCCTTCTTGTTTAAGAATCTTACCTACTTTTTCTGATAGTTCACCAAGTATGGCAAGCGACGAAAATTCTAAAGATTCATTTTTGGTGGGGTGGCTGAGTCTGATTGTTGCTTCTTTTAAAGTCAATTTTGTATTCTTTATACTAGCAACCTATCAATTGTAATTCTTTTTTATAATTAGTAGGCATTAATGGGAGTTTAATATACAGTCTACGAGCCAAACAAATGGCTGTAGTTGTGGCTTTTTAGATCTATTTCAATTAGGATAATTTATTATGGACAGTTTTAAGTTAAAGAGTTTAAACAACCATCTTTATTTATTTCCAATGTACAATTTATATAAGGGTGTAAAGTGCAATTAATTAATTAACTGAAGTTCTTTTAGATTCTCTAGTGTTCCCGACCATATAAATAAAATATCGTCTATGTAGTGTTTTGAAAAAAGGAGATATTAAGTTATTCTTTGATTTGAAAATAATTTTTCAAAGTTTCCATGAATACTTCAGCACAAAATGAGGATAATAGAGCTCACATTGGTAACCCTTTCATTTCATAAAATTTATTATTAAATTTACAATAATTAGATAGTAGGCATATATTTAAGATATAATTTGTATTTTAGAAATGTGAAATGTTTTACAATTTAATTTCACTTACTTTTTTTTTTTTTTTTTTTTTCCTTACTATATAAAAGTTAAAAATCAGACTACATCCATGACTATTATAAGTGGAATGTATCTGTGTGGAAGTTGATATTACAACATGAAGTTCATAACAATTACAACATAAAAAAATCAACAAAAATTGGTTAAAATCCTCAAATACTTGAATTACCAACTACAAAAATCTCTTCATTAGAACAACAAAATTTATTAAATCATATACATTTCAATGATAGTCTTTTGTCTCATTATCAAAATAAATATATTTAATAAATGTAGGTTGTCATTTTTTTTATAAATCCTATCTTTCTTATTCAGCCTTATCATTTCCACTTGTAATAATTGACTATCTAGAGAGCAAGGGTCAATGTAAAGCTGGAAATAAAGCCATTACATTCAGTACTGTGAAGGCAGTTAACTGAAACACAATGTACTACACATTGCTATATTTATTTGTGGTTACTTGGCTGTGCCCGTCCAATGGATATGTCTATAGAACTGAATATTTTGATACAAAGGTTCATACGATTAATTATCCTTGTAAATTTCTCATAACGTTGAATTTGTTCCTTAGAGTAGTGTTAATTTTTTAATAAGCAAAATATTTAAATAAAAAATAAAATAAAACATTGAATTAGTTTAAAATTAGTACTCCATCAATATTCTTAAAATATAAAACCTATATTTGTATAATTGCTCATTATTTATTCTTAGAATATTAAAATGAAATTTTCCATTATTTAAACAAAAATTTCTATAATTTTGCTGGTTTTTCAAAATTATAATTGTTAATTTATTGATTTGTAGCTAGACAATTTTGCATTTGCATCAAATGAAACATTTAAGCTGAGGTATTTGATAAATGACACATTTTGGAACCCAGGACGTGGGCCAATATTTTTTTACACTGGAAATGAAGGCGACATCACAGATTTCGCTGAGAATACTGCAAGTTTTTTTTTTCACTAATAAAAGTGTTAAAAAATTTGGAATTTTTCAATTTTGATACAATCTTTTCATTTAAAGGGATTTATGTGGGAAACAGCCCCAGAATTTGACGCTTTGGTTTTGTTCGCTGAGCACAGATATTATGGGAAGTCGTTGCCTTTTGGAAATCTATCTACTTCGGTAAGTTATAAGTTTGTAATAGTAAATATATATATAATATAAAAGTAATAAAATTAAGTAATGATTTGATAAATATGAACCCTTGAGGTGTGGATGTTTAAAAAAAAATTGGTTGTATGTCCTTTTTGAATGCAGGGCCACTGGATTCGAACCAGGCCCTTTAACTTACAGTGATGAGCGTCATGTCAACACCTTTTTTTTAGTATATGTACCGCCGAAGCGAGTACATGTCAACACCTTAACCGTGAACACCCCTTCAAACTTTTTTTAAATGCATAAGCCTAAATTACCTTCTTACTTTCATACTTACCATATTTACAAAGATATTATCATTTAGTTAAAAGCAATAGTGGTAAACCAGGTGATCATATGTATGTTGTACACTTATATAAAAATTTTAAATTTATTTATATTTTAATCAAAGTTATGTGACTAAAATTCTATAATAAATATACAAAGACACAATTGCTCATTATTGAAACATAGTTATACAGTTTTACAACATTTAGAGAATAATGAAGTTTCACAAATTTAATATTTTGATAAACGATATTCCTTAGATAGGAAAATTAGATTTTTCACATACCCTGGTGGACTCTTGTGATGCCAGTTCCTCTTTCATTGGCCAAAGTTGAAAAGCTTGCACACCTGAGCTTACGCTAATCTCCAATGTTTGCTTTATTTACTATAGAACTTTTTTAAAACTTCAACTGCCTCCTTAAACACAATGGAAACAACATAAAATATGGATCATTGAAAATCCATTGAAAATGTACAAGGTCCGAAAGAAAAGTACAGAACTAAATTTTCAGCATTTTTACAAATAGTTAAAATCATGAAAACTCATAGTTGGCAAAAATTCATCATTTCTATGTTTATATTATATAAAAAAAAAAATGAAATATTAGGTTGTTTAGGCAATGATTAACAAAAAAAAAAATAAATAAATAAATAAAAAATAAAAAATAAAAAAAAAATAAAAAAGAAAACAGTTAAACCTTTTTTAAATTTTAGGAACCTAAGTATTCAGGGTATTTGACGGCATCTCAAGCGATGATGGATTACATAGAACTTTTAAGCTATATCAAAGTAAAATACAATGCCACCGTCAAAGAAATCCCTGTCATTGCGTTTGGTGGATCCTATGGTGGCATGCTGGCTGCATGGATCAGAATGAAATATCCATCTGTCATCGCTGGGTATAAGACTTAGAATTTTTCCTATGATATAATTTATTAATGCACAATATGCTATTTCAGTTCGCTGGCTTCATCAGCACCCATATGGCAATTTACAGGAATGACTGAGTGTTCAGCATTTTCCAGGGTGACCACATCTGCGTACAGTTCTGTATCTCCTGAATGCTCGAAGAGAATTCGAGATTCTTGGAGTGTCTTGACTGAATTAGGAAAAACAGGTTTATATTTTTTTCTGTTTATTTTACATGCTCAATTGATCATTTTTAAGAGCAAATATATCAATCAGTCATTGTGTTGAATAAAACGAAAATCAAAACACTTTGACAGTGACTAATTGGCTGGGATTTGATGCAATTAATCCATTACAATTATGAAATTCTTTTCTGTGCAAAAATGTTTTCCACCATATTGTAACAATTATACTCGCAAAATTTACAGATGCAGGAAAAGCGAAACTCAACACACTTTTAAATACTTGCAAGCCATTAAAAACAGATTCAGATGTGCAAGGTGTCAAAGATTATTTGCAGACCATGTATGTCAACATAGCCATGGTCAACTATCCTTACCCAGCTAATTTTATTGGAAATTTGCCTGCAAATCCAGTTAAAGTAAGACATTACTACTTAGAACTTGCATATAATTATTAATAATCAATATTATTATTATTTTTCAGGCTGTCTGTAAAAATATGTTACATACAAATGAAACGAATGAGTCAATTTTAAGCGGTGTTTATAACTCCTTATTGATGTACATAAATGGCACAGGAACTGCAAAATGTTTTGACATCACTAATGATGTTGAACCTTTCGGTGTTGGCGGATGGAACATTCAAGTATACAAATTTTGATCAGTGATAAATAAACATATATATATAAACATTTTTGTTAGTCTTGCACAGAAATGGTGATGCCAATGTGTAACAATGGTGAGACCGACATGTTTGAAAAAAGTTCATGGGACTTAAAAAAAGTATCTGATGATTGTTTCAAACAATACAAACTTAGACCATCAGTGAATATTATCCGTGACCTGTTTGGAGGAAAACGCATATCCTGGGCAACAAACATTATTTTTAGGTAGTATATATAGTACAATTTAATATATTGAACTAATTTTGTCTCATCTTTTAATTTATCGTTAAAAATGTTTTTCATTTGCTTTTAATTGTTAGTATTGTCATTTTAGTAAGTAAATGATTGGCTAATTGAAAACAATTAATTTCTATTCATATATGATTATATATTACACTTTTATATTGATTTTCAGCAATGGTCTACTAGATCCCTGGTCCAGCGGTGGAGTTCTGCACAATGTTTCTAAGACAGCAGTTGCCGTCATAATACCAGAATCAGCTCATCATCTCGATTTGAGAGCGCAAAATGAAAACGACCCCACAACAGTCCGTATGGCAAGAAAGTACTATAAATCAGTATTCAAAAAATGGATTCAAGATTTCTACTCAGATGTCTGATTTTTTTGATGTTGATAATTTTCCTTTGCTATTTACATATTATCGATGTTTTTATTTAATCAAGTTTTGTTTAACAAAATAAAACAATAGTGGGAAATATTCTCTGTTAAAAAAATACAATTTATATCTTACTGTTGATAAATTTCGTGGTCCTCTTGACCAATTAATATATTACAATTACTTAAGGTTTTTTAGTTGAGATAATAGTTGAGGTTTTTACCTCAACTAAAAAACCTTAATTAATTGTAAATAACATTTATGTAACATTCATTAAAATTAATCAGCCTGGTGCAATTCCAATAATAAATTATTAATTTAAAAATTTTATAGTTTGTGTAATGGATCAGCAGGGGCCATTCAACTGTCAAATGTTCAATAACTCATAAAACTTTAAATATTTTGTGTAATTGGAATTTAAAAAAAAATATATATATATTTTTTTAGAAAGAAAATAAGGATTCAAGTGCCACAATAGTTTCACGATTGTTAAAAATATGTAATACAATATTTAACTTAAAAAATCCAAAATAGTTGTTTGGTTTCACCGTTGAAAATGCTTGTTTGTATTATGGTCAGATGCAGTTTCTTCACCGAACGTGTGACAAAGCGAGAATAGACAGATCTATTTAATCATGGAAGTGATGGTTAATCAAAAAAACAGTTTCAATCGAACATACTTGTATTAAAAAATCAATGAACTAAACAGCTTTTTTAATAAGCTTTAATCGTTGCTGTTAGTGAAAATTCAAAATGCAGTGAGGTTCAAGTAAATAACTATTCGCTTTTGATCATTTCGTTAATGATATCGGGTTATTATATTAGTAAATTGTTAAGCCTTTTATGATGATTACAAAAAAAAATACTAGGAGAACGCACAGTCTCAATCATTGAGAATATTAAAAGAACAAATTTACATTTTACAGAACTAAAGTTTGAAACAATTTAATCAGTTTTTAAAAAGTAATAAGAGATGTAAGGATTTAGAAATGTAAAAGTGTGAGAGTAAAACTTAAAAAAAGTTATAAGTAAGGGAATAGGTGAGGTAACCTAGAAGAAAAACTTTTAAAAGCCTTGAAGTTGGTCAGGCAGTTAAAAAAGAAACTATCACTTCCTTTCCGGGTGCTAATTTACAAATAATTGCGGAAATTTTTTAAAAATTGCCTTTCAATTCAAATCCATTGGAATTGAAAAGACGACAAGGTCATCGGGGGATAAGCACGGATATATAAGTATTTTTATCCGGGATTTACTCTTATTAAATAATTTCCACTTTAGTGATAGTTCGCCAGCCTTTGAGTAAACGACTTCAATTGGAATTCCGAGGCAAGACGGAAATTTCCGTGTAGTACTGCGCTGGGAACCATCTCCCAACGATTAATTGTAATAAGAATTTTTTTTGAAACGGCGAAGTGTCCTTTATTGAAAATAATCTATCAAAAAAAAAAAAAAAAAAAAAAAAAAACGAGTTCATATTGTTAAAATAAATCCTTTTTACTGGTTCCAGAAAGTTATTGTCACTCCCCGTTTGACGATGTGCAATGTTTTTGGCATGCATGTTATTTATAGTTATTTATTTAATGACGATTCATCAGTAATCACGAAATATTTTTTCTCAGTTTGGATAATAAATGAATCATAGAAAAAAATCGTGTAATGCCGCTTAAAATGGTTAAGAAGGATAAGAAAAGCTTTATCACGAAAAAGTTTCCTACAGTACACTCGAGAAGAAACATACCTGATAAAAAGTTCAGGACCAGCAGAAAAATCATTGCCGCTTTCTTGTTCAATCTGTGGGTTGTGTGTTGTTTCCTTTGGATAAGTAATTTTGTCATTATTATAGCTTTACGGGTCCGTCTAATCTCGCTGAGCTACGTTTCACACAAACACGTTTCGACTTCACGCCGTCTTCAGTGAACATGTGTCTATTGACTCGCAAACCAATAATACGACAGAATTTACTTCTTAACTGATTATAACCATAAAAAACAGAACAGACCTTAAATACTATTTGTTTATGTAATTTTTATTATGTTCTCATGAAATGTTTATTCACAAAAAAACTATTATTGTTGTGTATAAATGACACATGACATAGATGCATGCCGGCTTCACTTCCTTCTTTTTATTGGCTTGATGAAATAGAACAAAACCAATTTTATAAAAAAAGAAAAAAAATACCGGTCAAGATTAGTTAAAACGGTGAAAATACTGTTAGCGAGCGGCTCTGCCTGAGGTGGTTCGACAAGTTTAGAGAAAGATTTCTTTGCAAGAAAGAGGGAAAAAGGAAAAACGAACTTATGTCTATATTATAGGATTGATCTGCTTTCTTTTTAGAAAATATTTAAGTTTAGCAACCAGGTCGATACAAGGATCGAAGTTTCGTCTGAAGGCACAAAATTTAACAGACTGAGTTTCTGTTTTTAAGACGAAAGTTGAATTGGCCATATGTATACTCTATTAGTAGTTTATTAGTAGGAGGGCAAAAGGCCATTGATATCAAATAATGTCAATTGAAACAAAAAACACATTACAAGCCAAAAATAATTCAAAATTTTTTGATCTTATCGTTAATATAATTAATATAAGCTTTCAATATTATAATTTAAAAAAAATTAATTATAATTTTTATCTAAAGCAATTATGAGCTGATGAAGACAAATAATCAAAATAATTAATGGATCAATTATGATATGGATTATAACTATATGAAGAAAAAAAAATCAGTGATATGGCCAATTAGAAAGAAAACACTTTCGAGGAACATCCCCTTCATCAATACTTCATCAGAACACCTATTTGCAATACTGAAACCTATGATTTCAACTGTAAATATATTATCAACTGAATTTGATCCAACATAATACGTTTATTTTGTAACAAAAATACCTTATTTTCTGCTACCAAAGCTATAAAAATAAACTGAATGTTTTCTTTCCAATTGGTCTTATCCATGATTATTTTTAGTATTAAATAAATATGTGGTGATTAGTGACCGTTAATCGATATTTATTTAGAAATCGTGAGATGCGGTCTAGTACAATTATTACATCCAAAATGTAATTGTAGTATGTAAACAATGTTTGTAAATCCCAGGCCCTGAAGATGATCTCAATAAAGATCGAAACGTTGACACGATAAAGAAAATGTTTTTCTGAAACCTACATCATACCAGACCGCATCTCACGATTTCTAAATAAATATTAAATAAATATTTTAACAATAAATGTGCGACTATTTTTTGAACACTCATGCAAATTTATGCACTTGGATACAAAGTTACACCCAAAGAAGTTAATTTAGAGTAACTTTTACACTTATAAAGGCAACGGACATTTGTTTAAAACAATATTTTTTACAAATTTAGTGGTATTTTTATGGTAAAATGAAACCATATTTATTTAAGCGAGAGAATATATTTTCTAAAACAATTTTCTGTGGACAGCTATTCGAGCTACAAATTACAATGAAATCTCAATCGATTATGGGGATTACTGAAGAATTCATTAGGGAGATCGAAAAAGTCAAGAATCGTGGATAAAATGTAGGAAAGAAGTTGAAAACATCACTGAAGCAAGTAGATTCCAGAAAATCCTTGCCAAAGACCCTACAAACCCCATTGGAACTCCAAAAAACCGATGGAAAACACACACAAACCAGAAAGGAAACATCAGAAATTCTAATAAGTACACACTTTCCGGGGTCAAAAATTATTACCGACCTGGACATTAGGAACACTACTGAACCCGTCAAAGGCCACAAAGCCAGCAGGGAAGCCAAAACAGAAATCTCCTATGAAAAAACTGAATGAGTATTGACTACTTCAGCCCATTCAAATCTCCAGAAACTCGTGGGATTTACCCAGTACAAAGGGGAAATAACACTAATTCCTCTACTTGTAAAAATATACAGAAGCTATCATCCCAAGTTCATGGATAACTGTAAAAGTAGTTTTCATTTCTAAGGTTGCACGGAAAAATTACATAGATGCAAAATCATATAGACCGATCAGTCTAACAACCTTTCTACTCAAAACACTCGAAAGGCTTGTTGAAAAACATGTAAGGGGCAGCTCTCTAAAAGTAAAACCACTTCATAAATATCAACATGCCTACCAAAATAGAAAATCCTGTGAATCAGCAGTACACCAAATAACGACCCAAACAGAGGAATCAATGAACAACTAAGAAATAGCATTAGGAACCTTCATGGAATTGAAGGAGCATTTAATAACACTCCTTTTGAAGCAATGGTTACATCACTGAAATATCGAGGAGCCGATAAAACCTGCTGCAGATGTATAGTATCAACGATCAAACGGAGAAAAGAGCAGGCATCGATGTTCTTCGAAAAGGTACAAGCAGTGGAGGCCAGAGAATGTCCGCAAGGAGGAATACTCTCGCCTCTCCTGTGCAATGTGGTAGTGCAAGCAAACTAAACGAAAGCCGAAGCAATACTACGGCTATACAAATAACATTGTCATGCTATATTCGTCTCAAGATTAAAAGAGCTCACCCAAAGAGCACTAAACATGATGGAACGATGATGTTCACAATGGTGACTTTAAAGCAAACCCCTCAAAAATTGCTCTCCAAGAAAAGAAAAAGAAATACAAGGCGTACGTTTCTGTAATGAAATGATGCAGTTAAAAAACGAGGTTAAGAATTAGAAATAATCTTTGATAGTTCACCTGGAACTTCATCTGCAGCATCATAACAAAAGTAAAATATCGCTAATGATCTCAAGAAGAACCCTAGGCAAATCTTGGGGACTAAAACCGAAAATGGCCATACACGGCAGTAATAAGACTCAAAATAATCTATCGATCATTAATCTGGTGGACCAAAGCTTAACAGAAAGTAGCTACCCAAACATTAGGCAATATACAAAGACTAGCAAACCTATATATCACAGGGGAAATGAGAACAACCCCTACAAATGCAATATAAACTTTGCTAAACCTACATCCACTGGAAACATTCACACAAGGATAAACTAAGAAAAGCTCATTTACGCTCCAAAAATATCAAATTGGATGGGCGCTAAACAATTCGAGCATACAACCATAATTAATAAAATCAGACCCATTCTTAGAAATGGGGACTGACTATCTCGGAAAC